TCTATGCGGCCATAGAGTCCTCTCGACCGTCCTATCCGTGCCCGCAAGGGCCCTCCCCCGCCATTCCACTACCACCCACCATGTCCTCCCACCAGTCGAGTGCCTCCCATGCGGCCATCCCCGTCTACAACCCCGTGGCCGCCATCAGCGCCCCCGCCGGCACCCTCCTGCCCGGCACCAAGATCCAGGTCGGCAGCCACCGCGTCGTCGTCGAGAAATACCTCTCCGAGGGCGGCTTCGCCCACGTCTACGTCGTGCGCCTGCCCCAGCCCGTCGATGGCTCCGACCGCGCCGTCCTCAAGCGGGTCGCCGTCCCGGACAAGGCGGCCCTGGCCAACATGCGCACCGAGGTCGAGACCATGAAGAAGCTCAAGGGCCACCGCCACATCGTCACCTACATTGACTCCCATGCGTCGCAGCTGCGGGGCGGCGGCTACGAGGTCTTCCTGCTGATGGAGTTCTGCTCCGGCAGCGGCCTGATCGACTTCATGAACACGCGCCTGCAGAACCGCCTCACCGAGCCCGAGATCATCAAGATCTTCTCCGACGTGGCCGAGGGCGTCGCCTGCATGCACTACCTCAAGCCCCCGCTGCTGCACCGCGACCTCAAGGTCGAGAACGTCCTCATCTCCCGCACCGGGAGTACCTCCCTCTACAAGCTGTGCGACTTCGGCTCCACCGCGCCCCCGCGCCCGGCCGCCACATCCGCCGCGGAGGGCCGCCTGATCGAGGACGACGTCCAGCGCCACACCACGCTGCAGTACCGCAGCCCGGAGATGATCGACGTCTACCGCAAGCAGCCCATCGACGAGAAGAGCGACATCTGGGCCCTGGGGGTCCTCCTGTACAAGCTGTGCTACTACACGACCCCCTTCGAGGAGGTGGGACAGATGGCCATTCTCAATGCCAGCTACAAATTCCCGAGTTACCCGCCCTTCTCCGATCGCCTGAAGATGCTCATTGGTAAGATCCCGCACGGCCGTTGAGGGCGCCGCTGACCCGTCCAGCCTGGATGCTGAAGGAACACCCGCAAAAACGCCCGAATATTTATGAGGTGGTGCGCGAGGTCTGCCACATGCAAGGGAAGGATGTCCCCATTCGCGACGTAAGATATCCGATCCATCTTCCCGTCCAATACTGAGCTGACCGTCCAGATCTACGCTACTCGCTCCACATCGGAGGCCCGCCGCTATCAGAAGCTGCCGCCCTCCCCCACGGAAGCGCCACAGGTGGGCGCCGTGTTCTCTCCCCCGATCCAGGAGACGCAGATCATCCCGGAGATCGCTCCCATGCGGCGCGGACGCCCAACCCGGCCGACCCCGTCGCAGCACAACTCGGCCAAGCCGAGTCCGTCCCCGTTCCGGGGCTCCGGGGATCCCTTCTCGGTGCTGGATGGAACCCAGCGGGCGTCGACGGATGAGTTCGCGAACCGATTCCCCTCGCTCGACCAGTTCCAGATCCTGCACGAGAAGGGCGGCAAGTTTGACTTCGAGCCCACCGTTTCGGAAAACAAGCAGGAGGATGAGGATCTGGCCCGCCGGCTCACCAACGCCCTGGCGGACGACGCATTTGCCCAACACCGCTCCCCAGACAGCGAGCCCCTCCCCAAGCCCGCGTCGGAGCCCACGGTGAACCGTCGCCCCCAGCCCACCCCGCTCAAGACGAAGTCCTCGGAGCTGCTGGAGACCTACCGCGAGGACCGACCCCAGGTGCCGCTGTACCAGCCCGTCCCGAAGAAGCCGGTCATGGTGTCGACGGGCACGATGACTTCGCCCCCGGCAACACCCGGACTGCCCGAGCCCAAACCGTCCAGCCGGCCGATCTTCAAGTTCCCCAGCAGCGACCACCAACGCCGGCCGTCCAGTCAGCCGTGGACGGCGGAGGCGGACAAGAAACCGTCCCGTCCGAGCAAGGCGTCGTCGCCCACGGCCTCGTCCTTCCCCAACCCCCGGGTCTCGGCTGACCGCATCTCCGATCTGTCCGCTTCTCCACGCCCCTCGCTCGACGGGCTCCGGCCGAATCTGGAAGTGGAGGAGCCGGTTGGGCGGTCCAAGTCGGCGAACAGCCGGCGGCCCCAGTCGATCCACGCGGGGGCCCGGTACGAGCTGCCCCGCGGGTCGGAGAGCGCACGCTCGTCGCTTGACCTGCCGCGCACGCCGTATGACGGCGGAGCGCCCCTGCAGCATGCGCGGACGGAGACGGACCAGCCGTACGACCGCAACATCTCGTCGGACGTGGACTACCTGCGGGCGCGGGAGGAGGAGAGCAGCCGGAAGCGCGAGAAACGACACAGCGGGGCTCCCAAGCACAGCAAGCGGTCGAGCCTGTCGACGCTGTCGCTGTCCGGCACGAAGACGATCTTTGCGGGGCGGTTCGGCGACGCGTTCCGACGCTTCGAGAGCAACGAGGGCAAGGTGCAGTCCCCGGCGGCGGAGGAGTTCCCCAAGCCGATGCTGGCGGCGGCAGAGGTGACAGCGGAGCCGGCCAACGACCTGATCGAGATGGAGAACGAGGACATCTCGCCGGAGATGCGGCGGGAGCTGGAGCGGCGGCGGCTGTCGCAGGAGGAAAAGCGCGTGGCCAGCGCGGCGGCGGAGTACCGGCGGCGGGTGGCGGACGGTGGCTGGAAGGGCGGCGACGGGGCGCGGTCGCAGACGATCCAGAACAAGATGCAGTCGCTGCTGAGCGAGAGCAACCGGCCGGCGCCTCCGCCCAAGACGGCGACGGGATACGGGCGGTACACGGAGGAGTCGGTCGCGGCGGCCCCGCCCGCAGAGGCGCGTCCGGAGGTGCGGTTGAACACACGCGTGACGGGCTCCGGATACCCGGCGTCGTCGTCGCCGATGCAGGAACGGTACGAGCTGCCGGGGCTGGCCAGGCAGGAGACGGCGTCGACGCAGCGGACCGGGACGGCGCGGCCGGCGCTGCCGCCCAAGCCGAAGGGGCTGCGGTCGGGGGCGCGGACGAGCGCACGGTGAGCTCGGCGACGGGGGCCGGGGACGACTGGGAGAACTTCAGCCGGCGGTTCCCGAGTCTGTCGGGGATAGAGATGGAGACGGAGATCGAGATGCCGCGGGTGCCGCTGCGGACGCGGGAGGTGTAATGGATGCATAGGGATATGGGATATAGACGGTGTGGATATACATAGTTAGACGTCAGCGAGCGACATATTGAGAGTATTAAGAGTATTACAGTATTGAGAGTATTACAGTATTGAGAGTATTACAGTATTGAGAGTATTGAGAGTATTGAGAGTATTGAGAGTATTGAGAGTATTGAGAGTATTGAGAGTATTGAGAGTATTGAGAGTATTGAGAGTATTGAGAGAATTGAGAGAATTGAAGAGTCTTGCAGAGTGTAAAGTGTAGTGTTGGTAGCTGTAGATGGCGATTACCCAAACAGGCTAGTCTACCCCGGATCGCTCGAACTCAATCAAATCAGCTTCACTTGACTTCCGCAACTCTCAGACAACCTCCAATACACCACTCCCCTCCACCACCACCACCACCACCACCATGGCCCCCGTCCCTCTCAGCACAGTCGATGGTACCTCTCCCATCCAAACACCCCTCCACCAGAACTAACGCCCCCCCCCTCCCCCACAGCCGACCTGAAAGAAATCATCCAACACCTCTTCGAGATCCAGTCCGCCGTGCACGGCTACCTAGGCCCAGAAACCCAACAAGAACTCGTCCGAAAGATGTACGTCCCCTCCCCTCCCCTCCCACTCTCTGCATACCATACCATACCCACCCAACTAACCCACAATCATAAAAAAAAATCCAGAAAAAACCTCACCACCTCCCTAAGCACCCTCTCCACCCACACCGCCGACCAACCCACCCCCACCACCACCACCACCACCAACAACAACAACAACAACAACAACAACCCCTCCGACCCCCCAATCCACAGCATCCAGCTCCCCCCCGAAATCATCGACTACGTGGATGCGGCGCGTAACCCGGACATCTACACGCGGGAATTCGTGGAGCTGATCCAACGCGGCAACCAGGATCTCCGGGGCAAGAAGGAGGCGTTTGCGGGGTTTCGGGATGTGTTGGCGCGCGAGATGAAGAGTGCGATGCCGGAGGTGAGGGGGGAGGTGGATCGCGTGTTGGCGAATACGGAGGATGTGGATGGTGTGGGGGTGGTTTTTGGGGAGATGGGGTTGGGGGGGGAGTAGTGGGAGGAGGTGATGTGATATGTGCTTGGTAGTTGTAGTTAATATCAGGTTGTTGAGGGGGGCTGTGGTGGTGGATTGGGTTAATTTCGGAGTTGGGGGGTGTTTTCGGTTCGGATTATCTACGTAAGTAAGGAAGTACCTGGTCAAGTATTTGGATTTGGTCTGTTTGGGTTAGGTTAGGTTGGGTTGGGAGTGGGATTGGTTTGTTTGTTTACAGCGTATGGAGTTTCGGAGTGGATGAATGAATAGATGGGTACTAATATCTATCTAGATCGTCCAGATATACACACAGCCTCGTCTAATTATATATGATGGCTAGTCGACGGACCACTCCGGTCGTCCTATTTATATCCCTGTAACTAACTAGACCTTGTACTCTGTATCTACAGCACTGTACCTTACGGTCGAGTGATCCAAGTCATCAACCCCCGCAGTCTGTGCGAAGATCCCCTCCAATCAGGCCGGGCAGCAGACGGGACGAGGCGTGAAGGTAACCCGACAGGGAAACGATGATCTCGCCAGTGACCTGTCAGGAAAGCAATCAATCCGACCAACTCCCTCCCTCGGCTGACCTCTTTTCCTTGCCTTCTTCTCCCCCCCCCCCGCCATTTTCTTCCCTTCTCTCTTCTTCCTCCTCCTCCTTCTTTTTACTTCCTCTCTTCCACCAACATGGAATCATGATCACCACCTCCACCTTCGGCAGTGGAGTCGTCGGCCCCTACACCGGCCACAGCCTCGCCCTTCGCATCACCATCGCCACGCTCGCCGCCATCTCCTGCTACAATGCCGTCGAGCTGGTCATCCTCGTCTTCGTCACCTTCGCCCAGTTCCGCGGGCCCTACTTCTGGAGTCTGCTGCTGTCCGCCCTCGGCATCATCCCCTACTCCATCGGCTTCCTGCTCAAGTACTTCAACCTCACCGATGCCCCCGCCCTGGCCCTGGCCCTCATCACCGTGGGCTGGTACCTGATGGTGACGGGCCAGTCGGTGGTGCTGTACTCGCGGCTGCACCTGGTGCTCCCCAACCCGCGCATCCTGCGCCGCGTCCGCACGATGATCATCGTCGACGCCTGCCTGCTGCACCTCCCCACCACCGTCCTCACCTTCGGCTCCAACCTGGCCGCCAACAACGCCGTCTACATCGCCGGCTACAACGTCATGGAGAAGATCCAGATGACCGCCTTCTGCCTGCAGGAGTTCATCCTCTCCGCCCTCTACATCTGGGAGACCATCCGCATGCTGCGTCTGGACCCGGACCGCGGCAAGCGCAAGATCATGTACCAGCTCGTGGCCATCAACCTCGTCATCATCGCCCTGGACCTGGGCCTCCTCGTCATCGAATACCGCGACCTCTACATCCTCGAGACCATGATCAAGGGCGTCATCTACAGCGTCAAGCTCAAGCTCGAATTCGCCGTCCTCGGCAAACTCGTCCTCCTCGTCCGCGGCGGCCACATCTGGAAGCCCGAAGCCGCCGCCATCTACCGCTCGCACCGCCGCCCGGACGACTTCCCGGACTTCGTCGATGCCACCCGCGTCACCTCCGATCTGACCCACGCCGCCGCCCCCCGTCCGCGCTCCCACCCCTGGATGGACTCCGAAGACGTGTCGATCGCCATCTTCGAGCACGCCGACCCCGACGCCGCGGAGAGCAGCCGCGACCCCGACCCCCGTCAGCGCACTGGCCACTCGGACGCCTCGCACTCGTGGAGCGGCGAGACCCAGACGAATAACTCGGCGTACGCGGACGTGGAGCGCGAACTGAGTCCGTTGGATTTTACGGATTCGATCGGGAAGCAAAAGTCGGATTTACTGCCTGCTTAGCGGATACCCGGAGACAGTACACAGTACAGAGTACAGAGTACACAGTACAAAGCTCGGTGCCTGACGATGACGATGACGATGCCAATGACAATGACAATGACGATGAAAATGATGATATTTACGAGGCCATGTACACTACATACCGGCGGATTGGCGGATGGGCGGACTATTTAATTTGGCTTTTGATTGTTGACAGCGGAGATACCCCCCCACCTTTCTTTCCTTCTTTCTGTTTCGGACCATGCGAGGATTTCCATGGTTCGGTGAAGTTAATATTTACTTGATATAAATAAAACATTTTCCAACTATACTTTACTCTGTGGTGTGTCCTGAGTAGTCTGTGCTTGGAGATTATTGAGGCCCTGAGGGGGAATCATTGTATGCTATTATTGTTCTTCTTCTTCTATCGCAAGACAGTTGTAACGGAACAGTCAGCTGTGGGTTGACTATTTGGTGTGGTGTGGGGAGAAGCCGATTATCCAACTCAACCAGCCCAACCCAATCCGATGAGGATTGACCGAGAAATTATGTGTAACTTTGCTAAGCAATAATAGGTAGGAGTTGCATACATACTCTGTAGTAGTGTGTTATGTACTGTTAGATAGTGATAGTAATAGTAGTAATAGTGATAGTAATAGTAGTAATAGTAATAGTAATAGTAATAGTAGTAATAGTGATAGTGATAGTGATAGTAAAATAGGGACCATCATCATCATCATCATCATCATCATCATCATCATCATCATCATCATCATCATCATCCTCCTCCTCCTATCCGACCCACCGCGACACACAATGAGATCATACCAAGAGGGATCCACATTTCACAATCCACAATCCACAATCCACAATCACTGCCGGAGTCGGGTCGGTGTGTCAGTCGGGTGTCCACTTTTGTGTAACGGTGACAGACGGGTTGATATCTTTTGTAGATCGATCGATCGATAGAAGCTGGGAGAAATCAGGGGAAGAAAAGAAAAGAAAAGAAAAGAAATAGACAGAGTAGTGATGCATGTCATCATGTATGTATGTATGTATGTATGTATGTATGTATGTATGTATGTATGTATGTATGTAAGTAGAGGCTGGGGTCGATGTTTGATGTTTGGTGTGACTAACTAGTAAGTTACCACCTAGTTACTCAATTTTAAAGTCGAGACATTGAACTGATGGATCGATTCAGGGGGATCGGATCAAAGCTGATGGAAATACAGAGTACGCATCACTGAAACCAACCCAACTCCGTTCGTTGAAGTTGGTTTGTTTGTTTGTTTGAAAATACAGGAGCAGGACGGGAAATTGAAACTCCGGACGGAGGAGAGAAACAAACACAATCACAATCACAATCACAAACATCAGGAACAACAGGAACATCAGGAACAACAGGAACATCAGGAACAACAGGAACATCAGCTCAGCTGGCAAATGGTGAAGTAGTACAAAAAGAGTGGCTCTAGTTATTCAGCAAACCGCAGCAGCTAGAAAGGCTGCTTTCTTTAGTCCATATATGTATTCTCGTCTCATAGCATGATGATCTGTTTCTTGGAGTATAGTAACTAGTTGGAAGATGTGCAGAGAAACAAAGAAAGCTTCTGATCGATCAGATACTTCCGGTATATACAAAGCAATTCTCGCTCCCACCGCAGCCTCAGGCGACAAGGCTTAACTGGAGTATATATACTATATAGTTATAGTATATACACCACAAAGTATACCAAGGCCTGAGTCGGAATCTTCGATCAACTCCACCAAGAACAACGTATTTCAGCTTAAGCGACCGAGAATGGCTTAATACGGACAATCCCAGGGATCATTCAGGCCGAGTCTTTCTAGCTGCGTGGTCGCGTTGACGGACTTTCAGCTCGGCATAGGGATCCTGCAGTAGTGCCGAGTGCGCCCTTCAACAGTGAAGTATACTGGCGTGGCGTCCCTCACCCGCAGGATGATGTGTCGACAATACTGTGATATCAAGGATGCTTCTGATCATCTCGAGCAGTACCGCTGGATTCTCGTCGTCTCCTACCTGCTTCTCCCAACTTTATAGGACGAGTCCCGTAAGATTAAGGTTCTCATCGAGACATAGACTTTTGTGATGAGCCTGAGACACAGCGGGCCGGCCACCATCATCCATGGAGTGTTTTGTACATGATGAACGAACAGGAATTCGCTAGGAATCCAGTAACGGAGGTACCAACGAAGTAAGTACCTTAGAGAAGAGGGGGGGGGGGGTGGTACGTGGCAGGTTCATGGTCGTATTCAGATGCGCAGTGAGGTAAGATGCCAGCTAGCGAGGGCGAGGGGGGGATGCAGAGGAAGGGGCCGAACCACCCAATAATGGGACAGGAGTCAACGCTCCGCAATATGCGTGGTTGCGAGCATGGTCTGCATTGACCTCGAACAGGGGAATTGATATATGCCACGTCACGAATGAGAATCTCATGGCATGGCATGGGAAGTGAGGGAGGAGGGGGAGGAGAAGGTGGGGTATGAGTTCAAGTTCATACTGGACAAGCCATGACATCGACGACAATTCAACATAAAAAACCCCCATCCATCCAGCATGGGCTTTCTCTTGATTCTGTCCTTAGGAAAGTATCTCACCCACTCTTCTCCATTTGGTTATCCCTTTACCGCCAGAAACCCCCCCCAGCCCACAAAGCACAAGAACCAAAATGGCCGTGTCTATCAAAGACTACAACAACGCGCTGGCGGAGATCAAAGAGCTAGAGCTGGAGCGCTCGACCTCCGAAAAGGAGAAGCTGGCCGAGAAGAAACTGCGACCGGTGTTTGAAGAAGTCCTGAAGAAGAAAAACCCAGATGTCTGGAGTCCCGAATTCATCTCACTCCCCAGCTCGCGCCTCGGTTTCTTGTCTTGCTAACGGATTCCTGGTAGAATGCTGTATACTCCTTGGGCGAAATCCAGGAATGGATTCTCTACTTTTACGGTGCTGTAAGTATTGTCAAATGCATGCATGCATGTGGTTCGTTCAAGCTAAGCGTGGCTGACTCTGGGGGGATTTTGAACGCACGCAGGATAAAGACTCGAACGGTAAGTGACAGTCTATATGACAGAGACAGAGACAGAGACAGAGACAGAGACAGAAACAGAGACAGAGACAGAGTAGCTAACCTTTGACCTATCCAAACAAGGGTATGTTTCTGCAAAGGAACTCGCCGACATCTGCCAGGACGAGAACCAGAAGCAAGTGGCGGAGTTTTTCAAGTTCTCGGACATCAATTCGGACGCCAAGATCTCTTTCTCGGGTGGGTGATATCCCTCATGCGAGGCGACTGGATGATTTTCCATGGGTAAGAGTACCATAGCAAATGCTGACTCGTCTGGGTAGAGTGGGTGATCATGGGCTTCATTTGCGCTGAACAGGAGAGTGAGTATGGGCGGGCAAAGAAAGCCTGAGTTGATTGTCAGAATCGGTTCATGTGGTCTGGATCTGATTGATGATGGGTCCAGCCAGATTGTGGTTCTGTAGGACGGATTGAATTCAAATGAACTGGTGTCTCAATGTGGAACTTATGGTCTATAGTAGTTGGGTGGGTGCTGGGGGGCCCCCCTCAAAAAGGCTCAAAAAGGCTTCACTGCCCGAGTACATACCCAGTACGGAGTAGTGGGTATCAGTATGCAGGATGCACTGATGCCCATAGGTGAGTCTGGAGGATACTGACAATAACTTGTTCTGGCGGAAGAAAAAGACCGTTGCCCTTTACACCCAAATACTGAAATACCAAACCCAGTCCGCTGCCATACGGTACTTCAACGACTTGGTCACGGTTGACGATTGGAAGACCGTCCTCGAACGCATCAAAGGACATGATGCCGAAATCCTGGAATACGTGCAAACCGAGTCAAACGCGACGATCCATGACATCAAAACAAATATCATCAAATTCCATCGCCAGGCAGGCAGTATACTATCGCCTCCCGATGTATAGAAAACCTGGGGAATTTGCGAGGCGGGGATACAAGGAGTATAACTGAAGTACGTACCTGGTGAACACCGATTCTAGATTCGATCTTATGAGAATTGGTCGCGGTCAAGTCATTGTACCTCCTACCAGCGAACATAACATATACCATAAAGTGGTCTGTATTCAGTAGGCTGTACACACACAATGATCATCGCATATGATACAAGAGAACGAGAAAAAAAAAAAAAAAAAAAAAGACAATCTCATACTCCATCATTGGCTAGCAATCTCATCAAATCTCCCAGAATCAGATACACACAAACAAACAAACCAACCAACGCCACTGCATGCCGGATGCATCCAAGCGCCGAATTCCGAACCCAACCAACCCAACTAAACCCGTCAGACGCCCAGAATCAAAAGCGAACGAACCACTAATTAAATGACACGACGGGACGGCCGTCTGGCGTCTCGTCTCGTCTAAACATCAAAATCGCAGATCTTGATCCAACGCTGAAATGCAATTCAACTCATGCGCACAAGTTTCAGTTCCGATTCTTCGGCTGCGACAGCATGTTCAGACGGCTCATGCTAAGCACCCCGCGGCTGCGCGCACTCGCTGGGGTGCGTCCGGGAGTGCCTGCCAGCGTGCTCGTCGGAGTGCCTTTGCGACTGCTGAAGGTCGACCGGAGCGGGGTGTGCGAGCGGGCCTTGGTCGGACTGGCGTAGTTAGGCCGAACTGAGGTTGGGGGTCGCGTCTTGGTCGGACTTGGGGTCGGGGCTGGGGCCGGCGTCTGAGACTTGACAGGCGAGGGCGAGGTCATCTTCATTCTCTTGGCGCTGCGTCCGTCCGAGACCGACTCCACGGGTGGCACGTTCTCCGCGTCCGTCTCGTCGACTGCCGCGCGGTTTCTCTTCTTGTGGCCAATACCGTGCGGCATGCCCGCGACATGGGGAAGATTAGGGCCTGCTGCGGTGTCCTCGGCGGCCTCCCGGGTGCGCTTGTGGCCGATGCCGTGCGGCACGCCAGCAACCACAGGCAGAGGGGAGTTGATGTTCGCATCGGACGGACGCACGTGGCGAATCGTCGGGGTTGCCTGGCCGGGGGACTTGGCCCGGCTCTGCTCGGGAGTCAACACCGGCAGAGTCGGGTAGACAATGTCGGAAATAGTAGGACGCGAGGGACTGGCCGTGGGGATCTTGGACGGAGACGGCGAGAACAACGCTTCTTCGTGGCGGGTCTTGACACAGGGGGTGAACTCCACGCGCTTCTTGGGCGAGGGAGTGGGAACAGCCTCCTCGGGGGCATCCCGCGTTCCACTGAGAAGCAGGTTCGAGCCGAAATCGGGAGCCGCCACGTGCGTACCGGAAGCAATCTTTGCGGGGTCTTTGGAGAACAGGGGCTGGTGGCGCCGGAGAATTGACTTCAGGTTTCCAAGAGTGGGAAGGCCGCTCTTCAGCCGCGGGTTGAAATCTGTCTGGGGGGTGCGCGGAATATCGGCCGGCTTGGAGGCAGGAGATCGAATGAGAGACGGAATCAACGACGTCCGAGACGGCTTGACACTGGCGGACACACGCGCTGCGGAAGACCGGGTCGGGGTCATCAATGAGCTACGGACAGTAGATCTGGGACGGCGGACGGGCTTAGGCGGGCTGGCTTCCACAGGACGACGCGTAGAAGCATCATCCGCCTTGTCGTGCTTGACGCGCTTGTTGCTAGGCGCTGTGGCAGGGGCCGGAGAAGGTCGAGCGAGTTTGGACGGCGTGGTCGTCGACGACGACGCGTTATCGGACTCGTCCAAATGGGCCTTCGAGTTGGTTCGCTTGAGGGTCTTCACCACCGGCTGGAAGCGACCTGGGGTGGCACGGAAGGCCGACGCGTGGCCCTCAATGGAATCCATCTTCTTGAATTCGGCCATGTGCGCCTGGCTGAAGCGGGTGGTCTTGCCCTTGGGCTGCACAATCTTGCGGACCGCCTCAGCGCGTTCCTGAGCGGTCTGACCCTGGTCCTGGGCCATCTGGGCCTTGATCTTGGCAGCATCCTCGCGCACGGTCTCCATGAGCTTCTTGGCCTCGTCGCTGAGCGAATCGGTGCAGGCGAATTTGAATTCGAACGCGGGGGTGCCGTAGTAAGGTGAGGCGGGAACGGTTTTCGCTTTGGTCGGGGTGTTTTCAACGGTGTCCTTGACGACGTTGCCTTCGGCGTCTTTCTTGACCGGGTTGAAGCCCAAGATCAGACCGGAGTCGGCCTGCTTGGTGGTGCTTTGGCGGACCTTGCTGGGGTGCATCTCTTGGTGAGGCGGACGCGCCAGGGTGCTGGAGGGAGTCTTGGTGGGGGAGGGTTGGCGGGGGGTGGCTCTGAGAGGCGTGCCCACGGAGTTCTTCTTGGGGGTTGACGCGAAGATGGACTGCTTAGGCGTGGGCGGAGGAATCGACGCGCTCGGAGTAGATGTTTTCGCGGGAGCAGATGCTTTGGCAGCCACAGGCAGTTTGGTAGCTTCAGTACGCACCGGAGGAGCTTCGGCAGACGCTTTAGGAGCTTCAGCCGTTTCTTCAGCCGCCTTGTCTTTGGCGACCTTCTTCGCAGGAGGCTCCTTCTTCAGTTTCTTAACCGACTTCCTCTTCTTCGGGCGTTCAGAATCCTCGGCAGGTTCATCGCGTTCCATGACGGGCGCCAATTTGGGGCCCTGGTTGCCGAGTCGAGCCATGTTGCGGTCAAGGTTGTCAGAGTTGTCAGCGGTGTCAATGGTGTCAATGGTGTCAGAGGTGTCAGAGGTCGCGCTCGTGTTGTTGTTGTTGTCGACGACGGGTTCTGGGGCCTCAGGCTCCTACAAGGGCAGGGTCAGTGAATGGAGCATGCAAGGGCGACGCCGTGGTATGGTGGGCAGGTGGGATGTGTGGGCTCACCTCAGACTGACGACTGCGCAGGCGGGCGGAGCGTCGGACCGCCATGATGGAGGTCAGTAAATTGTAAAACGGGGAGAATGATGGCGGTGGCTATATACAGCTCTAGGAGTAGGATTGTCGACAGGAGACTGGGGTGGCGATGGAGGGATGAAGAAGTGAACCAAGCAGGGCGAAGCGAGGGAGAATAAACAAACAGCCAAACAGCAAGGGCGGTGAGCTGACGTCAGGGATGCTTAGTCATGTGCATAACCGTGCTGCGGTGTCATTTATGCAGGCCCCTATCAGGCACTCAGGCACTCAGGCTAGTTATCGTATCCGCTCTCCTCCGTATCTACTGTTTGTATACTCCGTGTTTTTGACATCTACAATCCGAATGGATACGTTTCCTCCAGTCCCATCGCTGTCTTCGGCTGCACAGTCTCTAGCGGCTGCACTGCCTCCGTCTGATCAAACCACACATACCCATCGAACTGGTTCTGCAGATCCGCTTCCGAATAGTGCGACAGGAGCTCAGTCTCCGGTCGATAGATCACCCCGATGAAGCGCTCTAACCGCGGGGCCTCCGTGGCCATCATCCCCCGCAGCTCCGTGCTCATGCGGGTCGGGCGCAGGTCCAGCAAGAAGCTCGAAAGGCCCGTGTGATGGGCCAGCCACTCCCAGCTATCCTCGCGCGACGGCCGCACGGTCATGACCTGCATGTCGTCATCCCACTCATGCGCGGCGGCCACAGTTCCCGCGTGCGTGCCACAGCCCAGCAGTGCAACATTGGCGCGGCCGAACTGCTCGCGACACAACTGCCCGATATTGACCTCATTTCGGAGGCCCATGCCGGTGTAGCGCGCATCGCCGCAATGCGAGTTATGCGCCCACACCACGGCGCGACTACCGGGGGGCTTGTGGTGGAGTATGCGTCGTAGCGTGTCCACCATGTGGGTGTCGCGCAGCGTCCATGACGACGCCGAGCTGTAGTACATCGCCTTGTAGTACCGCTCGGCGTCGCGCACTAGGTACGCGTTCTGCTGGCTGCTGTGATACTCGTCGCCATCGTGCGCGTCCTCCTCCGAGTACTGCAGGCGCTGGTGCAGCAGGTCGCGCAGCATGTCCACCACGCCCTTTTCACAGTCTGCCATCCCCTGCAGCGATGCCAGTCCGTATTCCGTGGGATCGTCCACCCACGGCTGCAGGCAGCCGTATCGACGGCGCGCCTCCTTTCCGGCCGGGGGGTCGACGCGGTCGAGGTACTCGATCACGGCGCGGATGGAGGCGCCCATGCTGTACAGGTCGAGACCGTAGAAGCCGGCTTTCTGGTGGTCGGGGAGGCTGGTGTTGTGGTTGCGCATCCACTCGACGAAGGATTGCATCTCGCGATTGCGCCACATCCAGGTGGGAAAGCGCTTGAAGGGCTCGTCGTGGTTACGTGTCCGTCCGCCTATCTTGGCCGCTGGGCCTGGGCGCTGGCGCACGTAGCGGTCGATAGCTTCGGCGTCGGGCCAGTCGGCCTCGACCGCGACCGTGGTGAAGCCATGGTGCTCGATCAAGCGTTTGGTAATCTGCGCGCGAGCGGAGTAGAACTCGGAGGTGCCGTGGCTGCCATCGCCGAGCAGCACGATGCGGTAGTTGCCGAAGCTGTCGAAGTGCGAGGCAAATCCGGGGTCGTCGATGTGGGGGAGCGGACGGGCCGCGGCGGCGATCAGATCCTGCAGCGACATGTGTGCAATGCGACAAAGTCTAGATGTTACTCGCATAAGCTGCTGATTACATTTTGCTTGATGCAACACTCATGCTGGAATTGGCGGACTCTCCGGTATATATCGTCGAATTAGGGTCCGGTATGGTTGCGGCGGCAATGAGATCACCGCGGATCATGATGACTTCACTTCCGATGGATGTCATACGCCGTCTCACCAACGCTGCAAATATCCAATGTTCATGGTGCGAATGGCCTGACGATGCAGCATGGTTCTACGCCGTCTCATGCAGCATTTCTTCAGACATCAGCATAGCCATACACACCTCCTCCACAACGCCTGTGCACCCCACACCATGCCAACCCCAACCCCAAACCCCCTCCTCCTCCGCTTCAAAGAGGCCCAGCAAACGCTCTACGGCGACATCGACTCGATCCCAGACGCCCACACCTGGACCCCACCGGGGAACTCAGGCGGGCTCGGCGGGCGATACCTCTGGACAGACGCCTTCGGAGTCCTGAACTTCCTAACCCTGCACCACGAACACACCCAGCATTCCTCGTCCCCATCAACCCACTACCTAACCCTATCCACTCACCTCGTCGACACCATCCACACCAACCTGTCACGCACTCAATCCGGCGCCCCCCTCGCCAGAAGCACACCCAGCAGCCCCCTCGCCGGGGGCCTGCGAATCAGCAAATCGCCCCCCGAAACCGACGGCCAATACCACCACTACCTGACGCTATGGATGTTCGCGCTGAACCGGCTCTCAGTAGCCACGCGCGACCCGCACTATAACGAGCAGGCGGTGGCGCTGGCGCAGGCCATTCACCCGCGGTTTTTCGTGGACGAGGGGCGGCGGATGGTGTGGAAGATGGATGTGGATTTGGAGGAGGTGTTGGTGGGTGGGGAGGGGGGTTTGGATCCGTTTGCAGGGTGGGTGGTTTTCGGGCTGTTGAGGAAAGATGCCAGTGCTAGTGCCAGTGCTGAGGAGGGAGGGGAGGGGGTGTTGGGAAAAGAGATTGCGGATTATAGGCGGATTATTGCGCGGAAGGGCGGACAGGGTGTTTCGTGGGATATGTTGGATTTAGGGATGACGATGTGGTGGGCGCATTGGGTTGTTGGGGACGGGGACGGGGACGGAGATGGGGATGGGGATGGGGAGGTAGAGGAGTTGGTGGACAGGTGCGTGGAGAGAGTTTGTATGTCTCTCTCTCTTCTATCTCCTCTCTTCTTGCGGCATCTTGATCCAGGATAAGACACTTTCCAGAGTCCCGATGCTAGGAGATGATCACATTATGGTGACGGCAATGGTACAGGTGACTGTGATGACAATCTGCAGAAAAAGCTAACATCCCCAGCCGCCCTGATCGAGAAAAAACACTATCTCACCCGCGACCTCGCGACACGGCTCGCATTCCGCGAATTCGGAACATGTCTGGGACTACGCTGTCTAGCAACGCAGCCCTCCCAAAGACACCATGCCGAGCAGCTGAACCGGTACGCGGACGCGATCCTCGACTGCTGGGAGCCGTACATGCGCTCTTCCTTCGATGGCACGCCGGAGGATCTGAGGCCCATCACAAGGGTGATGTATGCGGCGGCGCTGATTCCGGGAGGTGAGTTTCAATCAACCCCATTAGATCATTATGTGATGTCATTTGTGGTGTTTGATGGGGGGATGATGGGGGATGATGTGCTTCCGTATATCTATACCATGATCGGTGAGATGGAGAGAGACTAGACTAACCGGTTAGCGTTTTGTCGGGGCTATTTTGGTCCTGAGTCGACTTTGAGCTTTGAGCTCTGAGCTCTGATATTATTACGAGGGGATATGTAAATGAGATAAAAGGTAAGGATGTACATTCAGATTTCAGATCGGACTCTACAGCATCTTCCGCAAGGATGGATGAATGGAGGGATGGCCGTATGTATGTATGGATCTATACCCGTAATGCAGACAGATCAGAGCAGAGATGCCCCCTGTATATCAACGCCATGGAAATCAAACCCAGAAAAAAAAAATAATAATGGTCCGTCTCGGTTATACGCCCGGTAGGCCGACGATATCGCGCCACGGGATGACTCGCCGGGGAAGAATGTAGATCGTATACACGGTGGCGAGGGCGATCAACAGGCCGGTAAACTGTATCCATTAGCATCAACTACCAAACACACTCGGACAGAAAGAAAGATGTAATGGGGGAGGATAGAATAGACAAACCTTCTCAAACCAAGTATGAAACCAAATAGCAGTCATAAGCAACATCCACCAACCCAAGCCAGCAACAGCCCAGGCAAACCTCGCACACCAAACCTTCAACCCATGCAACCCCCCACCCTCCACCTCCTCCTCCCTCTCCTTCCCTTCCCCCTTCTCACTCCCACCACCACCCCCCCTGGCCGCCCCAACCCCCTCAAAAACAACCAGCGAAACGGCCAACACAAGCAAAAACACATGCCCACTCACATCATGACCGCCCCTCCACGCCCCACCGGCAGACTTACACGCCACAGCCGTAAGCAGGGTCTTGACACCCACATCCTCCCCCTCCCCGTGTACACTGCTCTCAACAACCGGAACAACCCTCTCGCACTTCCCCCCCGTCAAGACAAAGCTGCGATCAATCACAGGCGGCCCAAAGAACCACTGCGTGGTGAGATACCACACGGTCGTGGCGAGGACATAGCGCAGGAGCGCCTGGCCGGTGCGGCGGATGCGGGCGTGTTGGCTGGCGAACGCGGTGTAGGCGGGCTGGGAGAGCAGAAGCAGCGCGAAGGCGAGGGTCGTCCACAGCCACCCGATTTTCACGAAGTAGATGTTGAAGAGGTTGTCTTTGCGGGCGAAGTAGTTGACTGGGTGAGGGACCGGGGGAGATGGGGCGAGGGGGGTACCGGGTGTGGTGAATGGGTGGGCGTGGGGGTCGAGGGCGTGGTCGCGGGTTCCTTGGGCGGTTGGGGAGAGGACGGAGAAGAGGGAGCCGATCAGAAGGGTTGCTGGGTAGATGAGCAGGGCGGTGGTTGGGGGGTGGAAGGCTCGTGGTTGTGGTTGTGGTTGTGGTTGTGGTTGTGGTGGTGTTGTGGTTGGAGGGTCGGGGGATGGCATTGTTGGTTGTTGCGCTCGTGGGTGAAGAGGTTCCCTGGGTTATGGGTTGGTGTATTGAGTGAATGTGAGGGGTGTTGTGGTGGTAGAGAGGCAATTGGCGAGGTTGTTCGGATGAGGAGGTTGATGAGGGAGAAATCCTGGAGAAGTCGCAGGCATTGATCGGATGACGTCGCTGTTTTTCCGCTGCTGTGGTTTCCGCCCCAACCAGCCTCTTCAGCCTCACCGCCATCATCGCGCATCGCCGTCCTGCATAACATGTTGCAGCGGAATGCTGTGCAACACTACGAAGCAGATCTACGGCACACTCGGCACGGTATTTAAAATTTGTGCACGATGGCAGAAATCATCATTAAATTCGTCTCTACGAGTCATCAAGTGTAGCACCAGCTGTCATCCATGCCCTATTGGACAGTCGGCAGAGAAGCACGAAGAGGCAGCTTCCGCGAAGAACTACCCACGTACACCTTCTTAGGGTACGAGGTCACGATCCAGTCCTGCGCCGCAACATCCCAGTTGGAAAGGTCCCGACGCGTCAGGGTAGTTGTCCACTCGTACTCCTCCGATGGCTGCAGGGTGATCCGGTCGAACTTGCGCAGCACAATCCGGGGCTCGTCGGGGCCGCCCAGGGAAACATACTAGAGCACATTAGCAGGGAACAGGTGCACGGTCAAGGGATCTTACCAGTTGAGGAATCTCGTCACCCGCAATGTCGCCGGTGTTCTTGATCGTCACCGAGACCTGGATGAGATCGTCATAAAGCGCCGGGTTGCCTCCAGGGCCACCACCAGCGGGCAGAATCGGCTGCGCAGATCCATCGGTCGCACCCTCGGGGAGGAAATCTGAGCTTTGGCCGTAGCTGGAGTCTCCAGACGATGCCTCGAGATCTGTCGAGTTGAGCCACGGGTAGATGAAGGCAGTGATCCTCTGCAGACCGCTAGGGTACAGATAGTCCGACGCGTTTCCGGCCTCTCCCAGAGTCGGGGCGGCCTCGGTCTCGCCAGATGCAGGGGTGTACGCCGAGGCGTTCAGGGCCTGCACCTGCAGCTGCGAGTAGTTGAACGTAGTGTAGCTCAGACCGTAACCGAACTCGTAGATGGGCGTCTCGTTGCGCTTGTCAAACCCACGGTAGTCAATGAATACACCCTCGGTGAAGTCCTCCTGCGGGGCTCCGTCGCCGTTGTTGGGCTCTGTGATCAAGTAATCCTGGTAGGACTCTCTGGTCTTTCCCCAGGTAAAGGGAGACTTGGCGCCTGGGTTGACACGGCCATAGAGCACATCTGCGAGTGAGTTGCCAGACTCCTGTCCGGGCAAGCCAGCCCACAGAATGGCAGTGACATTGGGGTGGTCGTACCACTCATTGACCAGAACCGGTCCGACGGAGTGGATGATCACAATAGTGTTGTTGCAGTTGCTGGCAGCAGCCTTGATCACATTGTCGCCGTTCCCCCACAGCGTGAGATTGTTGCGATCGCCCATGTTTCCATCGACGTCGATGTAACCTTCGCCAGAGTCGGCGTTGACGAACACAAGAGAAACACTAGTTCCAGTCAGCCAATGCACATTAGACATAGTCATAGGATATCTCACGTGGCTTCTGCGGCAAGCGTCTCCATCTGGGAAATGGCCCAGTTGTCGGTCACGGCAAACACAGTGCCCCCGTTCTGGATCACCTCGGCCTGGATCGCCTGCTCAGGAGTCACCAGGTAAGGATACTCGGTAGTACCACTTCCCCAGCCCATAGCAAGAGTCCCGTTATCACACCCACGGTCGCTGCAGCCATCGGCACCATATGGGTTAGAGCCCGCATCCTCCCCAATAAGGGCGACTTTCCGTTCGGTGCCCGTCAAAGGAAGAGCGCAGCCGTCGTTCTTCAGGAGAACCGTGCTGTCTGCTCCGATGCGGCGGATCAGGTCGCTGTGGTTGCGTCGCACGTCAACAAAGTGGTTCACCACTTCGTAGGGCCCCTCTGAGGAGTAGTAGTACTTGAAGCCGTACTCGTCCCTAGTCCACGAGCTGAAGTTAGGAGGAGTCCACAGACGATCGCGGCCGACCTTGTAGTAAGCGGCCATGATGCGCACCGCCATGTCGTCGACGCGCCACTGAGGTACGGTCCCGTTGAGAACACCGATGGTTAGGTTGGTGCCCCAGTACGAGGTGCCACTGTCAAATACAACGTCTCCAGGCATGGACATATCCAGACCAGCCATAGCAGCACTAGCTCCGCTGTGGTGGGCCTCCCAGTCACTCATGACGAACCCCTGAAATCCCAGTTCGCCCTTGAGAAGCTTGTTCAAAGCGTAACTGTTCTGGCAGGCGTAGCTGTTGTTGATCTGGTTGTACGAGCACATGATTGCGCCGACGCCTGCGCGCACGGCATCCGCGAAGGGCCAGAGGTACAGCTCATGCATGGTCTTGTCGTCAATGTTGGCGCTTCCACTCTCAGTGATGTTGTACCCATAGCCTTGGGCCTCGGGGGCTTCACGGAAATGCTCTTGCTCGTAGCCGATAAAATGCTTGGCCGTTGCAACGACACCAGCATCCTGGATACCTTTGATGGTTTCTGCGAAGAGCACACCGGTGAGGGCCGGGTCCGGGGAGAAGCCTTCCCAGTTACGACCCCCATCAGGAGCTCTGCCGAGAGGGCCAGCGACGGGTCCCAACTGAAAGTCCGCACCCTTGTCACTAAACTCTTGACCCATGGCCTGGCCACGGAGGTAGGCAAGATTCTTGTCCCATGTCGCGCCAATGTTGATGCCCGCCGGGAAGGCCGAGTTGTAGTCGGCTGCGATCGTGTTAGCGGAATGGTCGCAGGAGGGTCATTAAGGGGCAACGACTTACAATCACGGACACCCAGAGGACTGTCCTGGCCACACATGCCTGGAATGCCCAATCTGTTCGGGTCAACCACCACACCAGATTGTTAAAGAATGTTCTAGACCATACCTCGGAACACCGCCAGTCTGTCCAACGCATTTTTCCAGTTCCCATCTGGGAGCTGTTAGCGGAGTAATTGCCAATAGAGAGCGAACCCATTACCCAGTCCCCGTTGTCAGGTTGACCTTCTCTGCCAATGTCATCTGCGACACAATTGCGACAGCACGCTCGTATGCACTCGCCCAGTCGCCCTGGCCATTGGCCCAGGGGGAGGGGTAAAAGGGAGGAGAGTAAGCCAGTTCATCCTAGGTAGAGCCAATTGGTTAGCAATGGCCTTCAATCACAACTATAACGACGAGAACGTCTGAGCCACCATGCGACAGAAGGTAAACATACAGCGCTGACCACGGAGGCAGCCGTCAGGGCCGCCGCCTCGATCCAACCAAACCTCATGGTTGCGAGGTGACCAAAAGGGGTAAAAAAACAAACAACAATACCTGTCCGATAGGAAACTCAGGCGGAGGTATGGCGAGTAAAGAAGAGCAATTGAGAGGGGGACGGGCGGTATTAAATAATGGCGGCGTGACAACGCGACAGGGCGCCACCAGCCTTGAATTTACGAAGTGAAGGACGATGATGTATGCCAGTACAGGTGTCTCCGCAGAGCTCCCCACTTATTCAATTAGGTGTCTCGCATGCAGTGACTGCGAGGTGGGAGAAAGGCGAGTGGCTAGCTGGTCGGCATGCTGATCACCATGGGATGCCCAGATTGAGAGACAAGGTGGAACGGAACCAAAGGGCCGGTCATGGAACAGTCGGAGGTCGGGCAAGCAAGGTACCTACCAGTACCTGTGCCTCCCTAGCCAAGAGAGGCAGCATGTAGGACGGGAGCTGGAGCATCATGCATTCGGGCCGGTGGGAGCACCAACAGCGGGCAGGGAGAGCAGGTCAGCCGGTCAGGTGAGGGTCCGTTGGCTGGGGACTGCTCATTCCAGCCTATAGGCCAAGTCCTGGAGGTGGGTAGATAATTCGACCAGCCTGGAGCTGCAGTCCCGTCCTTTGACCGGGAGTGTCATTGTCCTGTATTGGGATATCATTGATGGTGGATGGTGGATGGTGGATGGATCCAAGTCAATAAATCGGGTTACTAGCGGGCCAGGGGTCCCCCGGTAATCTTGGTACGGTACGGCCAGTCCCTGCAGCGGTGGGTTGCAGGCAGCAAACAAGCAAATACGCAAACACCGCGGTGTAATACCTTACCCCAAGGCCCGACATTCTTCGCTGAGACACCTGCTAAAGGTCTATCGCGATGCAAAGCCTGGTTCATTCCGACACTGATTCTGAGTATATACTACCGACGTTCTACCTATATTTGTAAATACGCAGGGCCATACAATAGTTACCTCGAACAATACGCAATAAGCTTTCGAGTCACTCCTTCTGGGCATCGCAAGGGAGTGCTCGGACAGCCCTGGGGTCCCAGTGGTCCCAGTGGCTTTGTCCCATCATTCCAGCTAAACAACGGCTCCCATGGATCCGTGCCGTCAACCACATTATGGCGGTTGTTCGCCAGCGGAACACGACTGCCGCAGTTATACCTGCCCAAGTAGGCAATTCTGTGGCTCCCCGATCCGGCTACGCCGACACGCATGGTACGATACGCGTATACGCTATTACGCTATACCTGAGGTACAGTACAAGCTTAAGCCCCCGGCATTCCCCGCATTTCCCTTCTGCATCCTGTTGGCAAATCGCAGCTGCAAGAACGACCGTCACCGCCGAGGACTGCCTGAACACAACAAATGTCATCGTGCGGCCATGGCATGACTGCACCAGTGCACCTTGCCTCCGACTGACTCCCGGCCGCAAGGGTCAGCCCATAGACGACCCCGTTGACGCAGTGACCAACGACGGAAGCGAAACAAGTTCACCTGCTGCTTGGAACTGGGCAGGCAGGCTACTTATCTGGTGAATATAGGATAAAGCCGTTCATCAGCCACCTGCCGTTCCTCCTGCTCTGAACTTTTCCAACACGGACAGAGCTCCGTCCAGCAGAGGAACACCTCTTACTGCTTAGTACTCCTCATTATGCCCGGCCTCGGCTAAGGTGTCAACCACTTCAGTCTGGTCATTTGCCTATCGCCTAATCAGCCGTCGATTTGGCATTTATCCAGATGGCCAGCTAGCTCGGAAAAAATGTTCTCCTTCTCGGCTAAGGTGGTGAGTCGCTGCGATATTACTAGCTGACTCGGATATAGAGACGTCATTCTATATTCTCTTGGCAGGAATACGGGGATGCTACTATCCGGTTGGGACAATAACTGCTGGCTGTTTCGCACCAAGCCAGTCCTCGGCCAAATTCCGGGGTGTTGTCATCCCGTCAACGTCCATGAAGCGCTGGAATACATGGAGCCAATATTTCAGCCCACATGGAGGCGCATCGCACAAGAAGACCGTTGGTTCGTACTCGTAGAATTTTCCCCGTCGGTCATTTTCCGGGTCAAATGCCGCCTGCGCAGTGCGCACATGCAGCGGCAGGTAGATTGGGGTGTTGAGATGGGGATGTGGGGAATCTCCGTGGGGCAATTACCCTAGTCGAGGTCCAACCCCGGCTGAATAACGAGAATGCCGGCGTGACTCCGCCATCAAAGCTAACTAGCAGGTTCGACGGCTTGCTCTGTGTGGGGTGAGCCATTTCTTTACCTTCAGCGTGGGAAGTCCACAACTCCTCACAGTTGTCTGTACGGATTTAGTACGCAGTACATCGCGTGATCTGGTGTGGGATTCCATACACATGGACTTCTACACCTTCTACAGGGCCTGGTCCTCCAGACCCCTCTTACCTATTACCGTTACCCCCAGACCCCGCGATTCATACCCAATCTACCTGAACACCCTGTGCCAGGTTCTGAGCCTGTGTCGGCTCGAGCTCCCTCAGCCCCACGCCACTCTCTACCACACCACACGGCTCTCAGCGGACAGGCACTCGCCCCACGGCATCTCTCTGCTTCGATTTGAATCTGTCTCCAGATAGGCATCCCGGTTGTCCATCGCTGCCAGGACCCCGAGGAGACTCAGCCGGGTTAAAGATATCCACATAAACTGATAGTTCCGAGCCAAGCACCGATGTCACGGCAGCATCGGGAATGAAACTCATACGTCACGGTACAACCTTCTCCGAACCAGTACACACTAACTTCCAGTACTCCATACGACATCTCCGTACATGCATTGCGGTGACACTCAATCTGTGCCAACACACACCACGCAATAACAAGACAATCCAGACCGTGCCAGTGAAGGATCGAGCCTACCCCACCGAGTCCGAGACATACATCCCGAGTTCATCTCCGCTTTTACTCAGCCGTCAAATTTTCCCCATGTGGGGGTCGTCCCGAGTCTGGGGAGCCTCCGCTTCGAAGAAGGCCAAGACCCACGGATGGATCCGAGATAACATCCACATGGTGACCCTGACGGGGCATTGTCTTGCCGACAATTACCCGTAAAACTGGCAGGTGTGGAGGTAACATTATTACAGAGCAAGAGAAGTATCTTGAACCTGTGCTCCGGTCTCCGGACATTCGTCGGGGCTGGTCACTTAGCGGAGGGTCTGAGCGGTAGCAGTTAGGTGTAAGCCCTATCACCACTTCTGGGGACTCAGACTAAGAGGTATGTAGTTATTTAGCTAGCAGGGATTATTCTCAAGACTTTCTTTGTGCCTATGACGTTGTCATGCGGACATTTCTGAGTCGAACTCATTAATCCATCATCGATCTCTATCTACCTCTCCATATTCCAGTACTGTCTTCTCTCTTCTTTTTATTTCTTCCTTTCTTTCTCTTTCTTTCTTTCTATATTCAATCTTCTATCCTGCATATAACCCCTCTCTTTTCTTTTCTTTTCTTCTCTTCCCTATCCCTCTCCACTTTTATTCTACGACAGATGATAGGAGTAGGACATCAGTATATCTCCTATGCCATCACGTCACCATGAATCCCACAGTCAAACAGTATACCCCTTAGTCCTTAGCCCATCTACCAATCTGTTGCAGCAAGAATTATTCCACATTTTGAACAAGGCTAAAAACTAGTTTGGTTCATTTGGCACGAAACACAGCTGACAGCTCTTTCCTATAACTACAAGTCTCTAACCAAGACTCCTTCTGAATAATATCATACAAACAGTCGACCTTCACCTACTTCTCTAGCTCAACTCACATCTCCAAACAAATATATAACCCCTAAAGAAGCCACCCACGGTGCCATATTATATATCTAGCCCATGGTAGATGCCAGCAGTATACTCTATACTTCCTACCCTCACGTGACAAAGAAAGCAAGCATGTCACTCCTCGACGCTGATTGGCCAGTAGATCTTGTATACGGAAAAGAACCATATCCAGGGTTAAATCTAGGTAATAGTAGATAGAAATATCACCATGATATCATCATCATTGTTTCTTTCCTTCTACCTTTCCTCACACTTTTTTGCTTCAATAATAAGCCCCGTTCATTTGTCTTACACCATGGCCCCCGAAAAACAACACCCACACTCAGAGTTCCAGGACCTAGAATCTCAATCCTGCAGTGAAAACAATCCCCAAAGCCAAAACCAAAGCCTAAGCCAAAACGAAACCCCAAGCTGTGTTGAGAGCAATGACAAGAATGACAGCAGCGACAACAACGACAACGACAACGACAACGACCCCATCTCCGCCTTCCACCAACTAGGCCTCCTCGACCGCTTCCTCGCACTCTGGATCTTCCTCGCCATGGCGGTGGGGATCCTCCTGGGGAATTTCGTCCCGAGCACGAGCACGGCGCTGCAGAGGGGGAAGTTTGTGGGTGTTTCGGTGCCGATTGGTTTGTGTATTCCTATTCTTGGTTCTTACTTTTACTTTCCGTCTCAGTCTTGTTTCCACTATCACTATCACTATCACTATCACTATTGCTCTGTTACGCTTTTACCTTCGCAGAAAAGATATGTTATACTGATGAGAGTGCAGCAATTGGTCTGCTGGTGATGATGTATCCGATCCTGTGCAAGGTTCGGTATGAGACGCTGCATCGGTCGTTCCGGGAAAGGGGGCTTTGGGTTCAGGTTGCTTTTAGCGTTGGTGTTAATTGGGTGGTAGCGCCTTTGGTTATGGTATGTTCTTCATTTGGATTCCTTCTGTCTGATCCTGAGAAGGGGGTGACATGGGACAATGGGCTGGTTTGTTGATGCAATGCAGCTGGGTCTTGCGTGGGCGTTTCTTCCCGACGAGAGGGGTCTGCGAGAGGGGCTGATTCTGGTTGGTATTGCGCGGTGTATTGCGATGGTATGTGTCCTGTTGTTGCAAGTGTATGAGTCTGATGTGATGGGCTGGGCTGATGATTGATTCAGGTGCTCGTCTGGACAGGGCTCGCGGGGGGCGACAGCGAGTATTGTGCAATACTAGTGGCCATCAACTCGATCCTTCAGATGGTTCTGTTTGCGCCGATCGCCATCCTCTTCATCCGGGTGATTGGCGGCGCGGACCACGGCCTGACGATCGAATACTCGCTGGCTGCGAAAAGCGTCGGTGTCTTTTTGGGCATTCCCCTGGGCGCGGCGATTGTCACCCGGTTTTGTCTCAGGGCGTTGGTCAGTGACGACTGGTACGATAAGCATTTCCTGAAGTGGGTCAGCCCCCTGTCCTTGATCGGACTGCTGTTCACGATCTTGGTACTGTTCGCGTCTCAGGGAAGACATGTGGTCCACCAGATCGTATCTGTGATCCGGGTGGCTGCTCCGCTGATCGTGTACTTCTTTGTCATTTTCAGTCTCACCCTCGCGGTGACGCGGTACCTGGGCTTCGGGTACAAGCTCTCCTGCACGCAGAGCTTCACTGCCGCGAGCAACAACTTTGAGCTTGCTATCGCGGTCGCCATAGCGACCTTCGGCGTGGACAGTGACCAGGCTCTGGCTGCGACAGTCGGGCCGCTTATCGAAGTCCCTGTGCTTCTGGGGTTGGTGTATGCAGTAAAGTTCTTGGCGAGAAGACGGAAGTGGCCGGCATAAGTAGGAGATATTTTGTAAAATCATTATATAATATGATTGGAAACGTTTTGAAGTATTAGTTGTTGCTGATCTCATCCAGAACTTGGAACAGGATCTGGTTCTGCACTCTGCATCCTTCATCCGTAGTCAAGCCTTTGGAAAACCCAGCCCAGAGTTTCCGGCGGATCTCAGCCATATCCACCCCGCGTGTGTTGTATTGGCTGATTAGCTCATCTGCAATTGCGCAGAGAGTGGTGTTCAAGACGTCCTCGTTTGTGGGCCACGTTGCTGTGTCTTCGTTAGGCGTGCAGCCACATACGGATTGTTCTCCCGGTCCGGGTCCATCAGATGGTGGCTCGTTGTGAAGTGAAGTCTCTAGGGAAGATCGTGCAGTGGTTTCCGCTTCATGTCTCGTACTTGAAATCCCAAAGTGTCGTGAGTTCGAGATAGCATTGATCGTGCCTTCCCTCGACGAACACGCATGCATCTCTTGCTCCTGAGAATGCCCCTCCGAGCGGCGGTGAATACTCGGAATGGCCAGTTTCTGAGCTACGTTCGGGTTATCGACAGCCTGCAAATACTCTTCAATGGCATCTAGCGGTAGACCCATGCGAGACAGCAGACATCTCAGCTTTCTATTCTCCGCCTCCAGCTTCTGGACAGCCAATCTCTGTTCCACGTCTCTGCAACGGGCTTGTTCCTGTACCGTCGCCAACTTCTGCTCCAGCTCGCGCGTGTGTGTTTGCTTCTGCGCCCGACTCCTGCGCTGGTTGTCTCGGATGCGGGCGAGTCTGGTGAGATTCTGGATAGAAGAGGGTTAAAAGGTCGAATAGGAAGGGCAAGCGTGAAGGAGGGGCTCACCTTTTGCTCCTTAGCGGGGTCCATCCTGCCGTTGGAGGAGACGAAATTCACCCGGGGTGGTTCTCTTGTTGGAGAAAAGGGCTAGCAGCACCGAGCACGGTATTGGTATTCCGCATGTTGCCTGTGAGGTACTGCGTGTAGGAAGACGCCTCCGAGGCACCAAGGCACCTGTTCGCCCCTGCGGTACTGGCGCCTATGGCCGGCCGTATACGCCTCGGGGGGTTCTACCGGATTGGGACATATCGGGCGAAGGATATCCGGACAATGTGGCAGGACAGGCCATGAAACTGGCAAGGTCAAATTCCTGGATTACACAGGCTCACAGGAACTCGCGCGTTTCAAGATCTTATCTGTGGATTAGTGAATAGTGGAAGAACAACTGCTCATCTGGGATGTTTTTGGCCGGCGACCGCCATGGCAAAGCGCATAGCCAGGCGGCGAAGAGTATATCCCTCTTGTCTCCCCGTTGCCGCGAAACACTGCCTCGAGTGGAGTCATAGTCAGATCCCCCGGATTCTCGACAGCCAAGATTGTCACCTGCATCTGATGCCCCCTAAACTCAACTCGTGGAACGGTGGAAGACGGACGAACCCACCTGTCATGCCGCTGAACCGGTGGCGCCTCAGCAAGACCAACGACGTCACTAGCCGTCCCCCGCCACGGGCAACAATGCTTGCTCGCATGCAGCCCCAGCTGGCCCAAGCCCCAAACATCTCCCCCTTGGCAAGCAGCCCCTTGAGCTTCATTTCCACCACCTACCTCATAGCGCCATTATCGCACGGATGTTGCGATCTCTTTCCCTTCAAGTCTCGCCCCCCTGCTGATCCGCCGTCTGTCCGTCACCAACATGGTCTCCACGCGACACCATCCCCGCGACTTTCCACCCCCTTCGACCGCGAAAGCTGAGCCGCCCTCGACGCCGTCGCCAGCAGCCAATGGCTCCTCCAAACGATGGGTACATGTTCCATCGGGCGCGTTTACCCTGTGGCTGATCGTCTCCCTCCCACTCGTTCTGTGGGATGCTGGCTATGTGCTGTTGCGCCCTCACTCCATGCCCGGGAACAAGTGGCACTCCCCGGTCTGGACGCCCTACGCTCTATACGGAACCATCGACTACCTCTACGGCTGGCCTGCGTTCAACGCGCGCAACGGATTCACCGCCGCGCAAACCGTCCTCAACCTCTTCGAGACCGCCGCCTACATCTACTACCTCGTGATCGTGTATACCCATGGTGTGTCGGCGGGGAGCGTCGGTCGCGGCCAGCGGAAGACCAAGAAGGGGCCGCTGTGGCTGCTGAAGGAATCGAAGTTGGTGTCGGGACGGACGGGCGCCACTGCGCTTCTGGTTGCGTACAGTGCGTCGGTGATGACTCTTGGAAAGACCATTCTATACTGTAAGGGACCATCGGGGCGGGCGGACACTTTGGGTGGTACGAACCTAATGGCTGTGCTACAGGGCTGAATGAGGCTTTTTCGGGTTTCGATAACATCGGTCACAACGACGGTTGGACGTTGTTCTTCTATTGGATTATTCCCAAGTAAGCGTTCCGGTTTTTTTTTCTGCCCTTCTTCCAGTACGGTCTCGACTAACGGGTGCATAGTGGTCTCTGGATTGTCTTCCCGGCCTACAACATCTATACTCTGGGGTTGGAAATCGTGGGCTCGCTGGAGAGTGGCATTCCGCGCCAGCGAGTCGGGCGGCCCAAGTCGACGTAGGCATGTCTATGCTCTATTGGCAGGAGAAGCTCGGGTCGATGAGGGTTGTATACCTGGCGAGGAGCGTCTAAGCAAGAAGGGTGTTGGAGGGTGCGGTGCACTGCACTGCAACAGCCAGACATGCAGTGCAAGAACGACTTTTGTATGAGATCACTAGAATGGAGGATGCGACTACCTCCATCCATAAGCACTACCCCCGTAGGAGCATCCGTTCCCCGGAATCACCAGCCAGTGAGAGCCCTCACTAGCAGGGGCGTGCATGACTGATGTGTGCCAGCCCCAATGTACTACTTCTCCATTCCTCCACCTTTCATCTGCTTGTCTGCTTGTCTGCTTCCTTCTCTCAGGTCGTGTGGTCATCTTGAGTCCTCTCCAGGAGTCTGGGGGGCTGAGGGACGATTCGTCCAATGACCGGTGCCCCATATAAATTACATATATTAGTGCCCCTCGATGACAACTCCAGGGTTTGCCGGTGCAGCCATCAAGCCTTTCTCTCTCGTTCCCCCACCCCCCGCCCCCCTGGGTGAGAATTTGGGGTCTTTGGACGGACGGTGCCTTTCGCCCACCGTTCCCTGCCCTCTTGTCTCTATCCAGAGAATCCCTTACCGCGACGGAGGTGGACGGAGGGCATTAGTAATCGCCAGGATGACGACGGCCAGCCGTGCCAAGCCGCCAGTCAGCGACCCTCGCGCACCTTCCCCATACCCACCACGAGAGACCTCCTCATCCCGCGATTTCGTCCCGTCTCTGCCTCTGTCTCTCTCTCTCCCTCCGCCTCTCAGTCGCTCCTCCGTCTCCGCCTCTCACTCCCCAGAGCTCGAGACCCTGTGGCCGGCCCCGTCTTCGTCTCCCCCCTCCCCCATCCTGCCGAATGATGATCCGAGTCTTGTTCTTGGGGTACCTCCACCCATCATGATCCCTCCAGAGTCCGACGAGTCCCCCATGGCCTCCGGCATGACCCTGGGCCACGACGACATCATCCTCCCGGAAGACCTCGACACCCACAGTCGCGCCAGCTCCCGCGACCCCGGCAGCGTGCAAACTGCGGCGGGTGACTCGGCTGCCTTCCACGACACCGGGAATGACCCCCAGAATGACAACGACTACGCCAAGGGCGACCCCGACCCCGATCCCGCACAGAACAGCGACCTGCAGCAGGGCGAAAAACCGGCATGGAGCGAAATGAAGACCAAGGCGGGCAAGGAGCGAAAGCGTCTGCCGCTGGCGTGCATTGCCTGCCGCCGCAAGAAAATCCGGTGCTCGGGGGAGAAACCTGCCTGCAAGCATTGCTCGCGCTCTCGCATCCCGTGTGTCTACAAGGTCACCACCCGCAAGGCTGCCCCCCGGACCGACTACATGGCGATGCTGGATAAACGGCTCAAACGCATGGAGGACCGGGTCATCAAGACCATCCCCAGGGAAGAGACCAGGGATATGACGGCGATTGGCCGGTCGGTCGTGCGTCCGCCCCAGCCGGGGCAGACCACCAAGGCCCAGAGGAAACGCACGGCGGACGAGGCCTTTGCAGCTGAGATGGACGAGTGGGCCCGCGAGAGCCGCAACGGTCCCCAGGATACGTTCCCAATGCGCCGCGAGAGCAAGTCAAACGATACGGCGGGCCTCATGACTGCCGGCGCCGAGTTTTTGCCGTCGCTGGAGATCCAGGAGCACCTGGCTGAGGTCTTCTTCGACTGTGTCTACGGGCAATCCTATCTCCTTCTCCACAAACCCAGCTTTATGCGAAGGCTCAAAGCCAGGACCGTCCCACCGGTGCTGATTCTGGCTGTCTGCGCCGTCTCCGCTCGATTCTCAACCCACCCGCAGATCAATTCCGAACCCCCTTTCCTGCGAGGAGAGAATTGGGCCAACCCGGCAGCCGCCATAGCACTCAGTCGCCACGACGAACCGAACATCACCATCCTGACCTCCTTCTTGCTGCTGGGCCTGCATGAGTTCGGTACGTGTCACGGTGGGCGGAGTTGGTCGTTTGGAGGCCAGGCACTGCGTATGGCGTATGCTCTACAGCTGCATAGAGAACTCGACCACGATCCTTTACTGAACCAGAGCAATGGCAATGGGTCGCAACTTAGTTTCACGGACCGGGAAATCCGGAGACGAACAATGTGGGCTTGCTTTTTGATGGATCGATACAACTCGTCTGGGAGCCAGCGTCCGCCCATCGGGCACGAGAAGTTCCTGCAGATACAGCTTCCGATCAAAGAGTCTCATTTTCAGATGGAGATCCCCGGGCCAACGGAAGATTTGGACGGTGTCGTCCTCAACCCTGTCCCGGATGATGTCGGTCAGCTCTCCAATGCCAAGGAGAACATGGGGGTGTCGGCCTACATCATCCGCGCAGTGGTAATTTGGGGCCGCATCGTCGATTACCTCAATCTAGGAGGGAAGCGGAGGGATACACATCCACTGTGGTCTCCAGAATCCGGTTATACGCGGCTCAAGCGACAGATCGAAGAATTTACCGCTTCTCTCCCGGGCTATCTCTTGTTCACATACGAGAATCTTCAGATCCACGCAGCGGACCGGATAGCAAACCAGTTCCTCTTCCTGCACATCATCATTCACCAGAATATGCTCTTCCTGAATCAATTCGCTATCCCACTGTCCCCGGGGGGCCGTCCTCCACGCGACATGCCCAAGCCGTTCCTGAGCAATGCTGGACGGGCGGCCGTGGAGGCAGCCCATCATATCTCTGTCCTGATTGATCGGGCTTCGGCCTACCCTCTTACGGTCCCATTCGCCGGGTATTGCGCGTACTCGGCTAGCACTGTTCACATTTGGGGAATCTTCTCCAAGAACCCGCAATTGGAGGCACGATCGAAGGAAAACCTCCGACATACGTACCGTTACCTCAACAAGATGAAGAAGTACTGGGGGATGTTCCACTACATGGTCGAAAGTGCCAAGGATCGATATCGGCAATTCGCCGACGCCGCCATCAAGGGCACGGTGGTCACTCAAACCGGTGGCCAGATCGCCCCCATGTTCCAGTATGGTGACTGGTTCGACAAGTACCCCCACGGTATGTCGAGGTCGCACTGGGAGGAGCCCGATCCTCAGAAAAAGGCAAAGAACGACGATGGTGTGATGAGCCAACGACCCGATCTTCAGAGCGTCGAGGAATTCTTTGCCAGCCTTTCTCCTACGCCGCAGCCGAGCGCGCCGCGCAGGCATTCCAAGAGGAGCAGCAAGGCCGGCAGCGCCAGCGGATTCGATGGACCCACGCCTCCGCAGTCGATGGGAGACATCAGCATGGACGGCCAGCCGGGGATGCTGGGGACCACAGGGACCGGGTTTCCCCAGCCCTCGATGTTCGGCCAACATCGGCCTGGCCAGCCATACACACAACCAGCCTTTGACTTCGCCATGCCCGCCGCAGACCAACTACCACAGCTAGACCGACAGTTCGTTTACGGGTCCTTTGGTGACTTCGACCCGTCTGCATCTCTCGTTCCGCCCGAAAACCCACCCATGCCCCCCGTCAACCGCCACGAAGTACCCCCCAACCAAGATCCCGCCACCATCTTCGGCTCGCAGCTGGACCCCAATGCCCCCTCCGGAGCAGGCGAGTACTACCAACCCAGTGCTTGGTTCCTCCCATTCAATCTCGACCCCATCGGCGCCGGAGCCAGCCTAGACCCGACCTCGCAACCAGGCGCCACCAGCCAACCCGTCGGCCCGGACCTCTCCGGTTTCGGACCCGGGAATATACCCATGGGGGCGTACGACCTCGGCCTAACGGGTGGCAACCGCGGCTCACAAGCGTGAGCCCACACCACTCGCCCGTAGTGGTCCGAGAGAGTACCGCAGTCATGGGGTTTGATTTATTTGACATATAGTTCGTTTCTAGCGAGGCAATCGGATGGCTGGATGGGATGGGTTTTGCAAAAGATTCGGAGTTTTTTTATTACAAGATATGGTCGATTGATTGATGCGATGCGATGCGATGCGATGATCCATTGTGTGGTTAGTGGTTGGTTGGTTGGTTGGTTGGCTGGCATGTATTGTACCTATATATATCCGATTATATATTATTCTTCTCTATTCTGTGATGGATGGAGAGATAGATATACAATGATTAAGAATTATGTTTGACGGCTTTTCTCATGGTTTAACATTGTTGATGAATCTTCAAATAACCAAAAATAAAGGAGGAAAATAAAGAAGCAAATACTGAATACAGTAAGGGAACAAACAAAAAAAAAGACCAAAAAGAGAACTCGAATTGAATTGCATCATCCGTGAATCGAACACGGGCCTCATCGATGGCAACGATGAATTCTACCACTAGACCAATGATGCTTCTATGATGAAAGAGACTAAGTTATATAATATCACCTAGACTTGGATGATCTTCTTAACTTTATTTCTCCTTTGACATCATCCGCTTTGTACTTTGTACGGAGTACATACATAGTAAGTATTTATATACTGTTGGTTATTACTGTAGATTAATCTCACCCCTCTCTCTCTCTATGTATATCTCTCTTGCTCTGTCTGCAGGAATTATTCTAATTACATTCCCAACTCCAGGATCAAAGTCCCCACCTGCGAAAGAAGGACTGAACTAGCAAACCGATAAATTGACAATTGAAAACCTGGACCAACTATATAGCTGAAGAACAAGCTCGCTAGCTGTCTACTGGAGCTGGAACTGGATGGAATGCATGAGATGTAGGGAATGCATCCTCTTTTTCTAGTGAGTCAGTAGGTTGATAGGTAGTAGGTAGTAGGTGGTAGGTAGTAGGTAGTAGGTAGTAGGTGGTAGGTAGTAGGTAGTAGGTAGTAGGTAGTAGGTGGTAGGTGGTAGGTAGTAGGTAGTAGGTAGTAGGTGGTAGGTAGCCAATAATCTGATATGTATGTAGAATACAACAATGCAATGCAATGCAATGCAAGACAGTACATATGTAATTGTATACCGAGCCACGCATCATCACATCTCATCGCATCGATTCAATCACGTCGCGTCACATCACATCCATGCCTGTCTGTCAGCGCTTCTTTTATGCGAGTACCGGTACAAATACCAGTAACAATAACAATACAAACCCAAACCCAAAGACAAACATCATCACCATACCATAACATACCATCCACAACCTCATCCAAGTAGAAAGCGAAAGGGAAAGCAAAGAACGAAAAGGGTATGATGTAGTATAGCGCAAACCAAAACCAACAACAACCAACAACCAATCAAAGAAACAAACTAACAAACAAAAAAAAAAGCAATCATCAATCAATCAACAGATGAATGATGGATCAATCCTCCCATTCCTCATCATACTGGTCTATCAGGCGATTCTCGGCATCGATGTCCCCAGCACCTCTGCGGCCGAAGCTGCCGCGCTGGTTAGCGCTGTTTCCGCGGGCGTGGCCGTGACCGGTGCCGAGGCCTAGGGCGGGGGCGCGTTTGAGACGGAAGAGACGGGCTAGGGAGGAGGGGAGGATGATGAGCATGTCCTGTTTGGGAGGAGGGAGGGAAGGATGTTAGCTTTATTGGTTCAATGGATATGAATATATGGTTGTTTGGTTATTTAACGGTAATGATGTGGGTAGATAGTGTTGGGGAGAGTAAATGCGTAGTGTAGGGGTAGTATATGAGAGTAGACAAGGAAAGACTCTAGCTAGTAGATTTCCGGTTGGTGGCTGGTGATGGTGAATTCACAATCCAGTCTAGATATCCAACAAGTGATGACGTGATGACTCGATCCATGTTCAACACGGATATTTTATAGAAGGAGAGATGGAAAAGGACGGAGTTGGGTGGTGTGGAAAGGGGAAGACGAAGAGAGATATGGAAAAGCGGAGCCCCGACTTCAATCCACCCTCGAGATCGGCAGCTTTGCATTGCCGAACTCGCTGTGCGAGGCCTGCTCATGCCGTCGGGACCAGGACAAAGACCGAGACCGGGACCGTCGGAACGGTATCAATGCAAGTATACTTACTTTGATAAAGTCGAGCATGCCGGCCCAGAGACTGTAGTTGGGACACTGTCTCCAACCGCGCTGGTGCATGACGGTTCGTTGATACGCACAGCCCCCGATTAGGTATGCGGCCACGGCGATCAACGCACTACGTGAGTTAGTGCTGCGAAGGTTATTCTGGAGACGTATAGACATGGGACTCACATCACGCCAAACACACCGGCTGGCGATAGGCCCGGGTTCTCGGGAGTCGGAGCGGTGGCTCCACAGGCGGCGGAGCTGCGGACCTCGAAGAAGTACGTGCACTGGTCCATGGTGCCGACGAAGGAGACGGTGGCCTGGGAGGCCGGGGTGTCGCGTTCACACAGGAACGACATGATGGAGGACTTGGTGCGGGCGGCGTTGCCGATGTAGTCCCCCGCACACGGGGAGCCATTGGTATAGTTCATGACCAGTTTGCGGCCGCGGAAGAAGGGGTCGGATGCTTGTTGCCTGGACGGGGTTAGTAGGCCGTACCAACAATGTGTCCGCATCATCTGGAACAGAAATCGTACCCAACAGAGTATACTTTGCCCTCCTTCTCGTAGTAGGCGCTCACATTCGCCCACCGTGCGCGATCGACCCCCACGACGTCCTTGACATCCTCGACGACCGGCGCGCAGATGTTTATCGTGAAGTTTGCATTGTAGTCATGCCCCTTGGCGTGCCAGCTCTCTTCGCGAGCGTTCTTGCGAGACTTCTCGCCGTTGGCTGGGAGCGGAGATAAGGAAATGGTATTTAGATCGTAGAAGAGACCGGTTGTCGGGGAACGGAGGACACAGGGAGCGAGGGCATCCTTGGAGCCGGAGGAGTCGGCGGCAGCGTGGGAGCAGAGGGGGGCCGCGAGCAGGAAGAGAAGCCTCAGTAGCGAGGAGGTCGGGGGCTTCATGGTGATGGTGGGAGAATCTATCCCCGGCGGAGTACTCGGGACGGTCGGCGATAACAGATGCAAGGCCGAGGGATGGGAAAGAGGGTGGTAGAGACTGACCGGAGGAGATCAGGAAGAGAGAGGAGGGGAGGAGGAGGGGAGGAGGGACGGAGGGACGGAGTGTCAAGGAGACAAAAGGAGGAGGAGAGAAGCAGACGAAGAGGGCGTCGTAATGCGTGGAGATGAAACGTCGCATTCTTGCGGAGAAGTTGCTTGACAGTCCGTCAGTCCGTCAGTCCGTCACCGCCCGGCGGGCCTGCTTCCGGCTCGGCCCAGTCGATCCTCGCGATCAACCTGTTTCAACTTCCACCTCTTCGGTCAGCTTATCCCCTGGTGACAGCTCCCCATCGTCAATTCCCCGTGACCGTGACCGTGACCGTGACCGGACACAATGGCTCCCAAGTCCGCCAAATCCCCCAAGAAAAGCACCCGGACGAAGGTGCTTGTCCAGCCCGTGCCAGAGAAACGGGGCTATGAGTTCGGAGGCCCGTACGTGCTCCAACCCCTATTGTGCCTACCCATTGGATCCATTATGCTGACCAGACAGTCTCGGCGCGTTTGGGATCGTGTTCGGCCTGCCCACGCTCGTCTACAGCTTCACCTTCCTGTGTAACGATGTCTCCGGCTGTCCTGCCCCCTCGTTGCTGCACCCGTCCACGTTGTCGCTCGAACAGTTGAAGGCGGAGGTTGGCTGGCCCCAGGGGGGTGTGGCAGATTTCCACAACACGCGCGTGACGCTGTGGGTGCTGGCGTATTACCTGCTCAGCCTGGTGATGCAGGTGTTTCTGCCCGGACAGGAGGCCGAGGGTACAGACCTGGCGTGTGGAGGAAGACTGCGCTACAAGTTTAACGGTAGAACACCCGTCGCTACTCTTCATACTCCTCTAATTGGCCTACAGCATTCAACTCCGCCGTCTTGATCCTCTCGGGCTGTGCGGTGGGCACCTACGTCTACGGTGCGGACTTTGCGGTCTGGACCTTCCTCTGGGACAACTACCTGCAGGTCATCACCGCGAACCTGCTGATCTGCACGGTCATCGCCATTTTCGTCTACGCGAAGAGCTTCACCGTCCCGGCCCCCGGCCAGCCCAACCCGGAGCTCCGACAGCTGGCCCCGGGCGGCCACACCGGCAACGTGCTGTACGATTTCTTCATCGGCCGCGAGCTGAACCCCCGGATCCGCCTGCCCATTCCGTTTGTCAGCGAGGCGTCCCGCACGATAGACATCAAGTCCTGGTGCGAGATGCGGCCCGGGCTGCTGGGGTGGATCATCCTGAATCTGTCGAACATCGCGCACCAGTACCGGACCCACGGCTACGTCACGGACTCGATCGTCATCTCGACCGCGTTCCAGGCGTTCTACGTCCTGGATGGCCTGTACATGGAGCCGGCGCTGCTGACAACGATGGACATCATCATGGACGGCTTCGGGTTCATGCTCTCCTTCGGCGATATGGTGTGGGTGCCGTTCATCTACAACTTCCAGACGCGGTACCTGGCGGTCTTCCCGAACGAGCTGGGGCTGAACGGCATCGTGCTCGTCCTGGCCGTCACGGCCGTGGGATACTCGATCTTCCGCGGCGCCAACAACCAGAAGAACCGGTTCCGCACCAACCCGAACGACCCGCGTGTCAAGCACCTCAAGTACATCCAGACGGCCAGCGGGTCGAAGCTGATCACCTCCGGCTGGTGGGGATGCGCCCGCCACATCAACTACCTGGGTGACTGGGTGATGTCGTGGTCGTACTGCCTGCCCACGGGGATCGCCGGCTACGCCATGATCCAGAGCATCAACCCGGCGACGGGGGATCTGCAGAAGCAGGCCGTGCAGATCCCGGAGGCGCGGGGTTGGGGGATGATCTTCACGTACTTCTTCATGGTGTACTTCGGCACGCTGCTGATCCACCGCGAGCAGCGTGACGAGGAGAAGTGCAAGCGGAAGTACGGCGCCGACTGGGACCGGTACACGTCGCTGGTGCGCAGTCGGATCGTTCCTGGGATTTACTAACCGGTCGACTTGCATACGACCTCAAAAGATCTATCCACAAACATACATAGCATAGCATAGCATTAGCTCGTGCGATCACACATAATATAATTCACGTCTTCAACGCTTCCTCTTTTTGGTATAGTTATCCACCAGCACCTCCAACCCCCAACCCTCATCCCCGGAATTCGGCACCCACGGCACAAGGACCTTCTTCGCGTCCTGCATCGCCCGTTCCCGGGCCTGGCCTGCTTCCGTGGAAAGCGCCGCCTTCTTGAACCCGCCATACGAAGCCTCCCCGACAATCCGGCCCAACTGATCCCGATCACCCTTCTCATCCTGGTCCACTCCATCCTCATTCCGACTCTGACTCCGATTCTGATCCAACTCCCTCTCACCCACCAGGTCCCTCACAAACCCCCACATCTTGGCCCTGGATAGCGCCGACGCCCCTCGAACCCGAGGCCCGGGCCCGGATGCCTTATAGCCCTGCTTGACCCCGCCGATGATCGTCTCGTATAGCCCGGTCCGCGACCCGCGCAGCTTGGGTAACTGTTTCGTTCCGTCGGCGGGGTTGAATCCTAGACACGAGCCTGATGGTGCGGCGATCCATACTGCCGAGATTGTCCCGGGTTTGTATTTTCCTGCAGCACTATTGCCAGCTCCATTCCCATTCCCAGACGTATTCTCGTTGCCATTGGCTGGACCAGGATCTGTGGCAGTACCTGTACCTGTACCTGCATCCCGCCCCCTCGGCTTCCCAAACGCCCACAACTCCTCCACCAGCGCCCCCTCAACCCTTAGAACCTGGAACGGCGAGAACCGATACCCTTGCCCGTCCCTCTCCCCCACCCCCCACCCCAAACCCCCCCGCCAAAGACCCCATCCTCCCCCCACCCCACCCCCAAACGCCCTCCCACACCCCACCGCACTAATCTCCCCCTCCGGCATCACCAACCCCGCCAAATACGCATTCCGGGTCACCGCCACCAACAGCCCCATCTGCCGCGAGATCAGCGACGACACCTGCCGCAGCGCGAGCTTGTCCGAGCAGGATTTGCTTTTCGTGGAGGAGGCGTCGGCGCGCGCGGGCTTGCGGCGCACGATGCCGAGCTGGGAGAAGTGCGCGCGGCCGTTGAGTAAGGAGTTTGGTTCTGGTTCTGGTTCTGGTTCTTGAGGGGTTTGGGTGGGGGTTTCTGGGAGATTTTGTGGTTGGGGATGAGGTTGGATCTCCCACGGCGTGGGATCCTCCTGCGCGGCCATGGTGAGTTCCATGCTTGCGTCGCCGCAGGGGGCGCAGGTGCAGTACATGTAGATTTTGAGGGAGGGGTGGAGTTCGAAGGGGGGGGAGGTTGTCTTCTTTTTCTGCTTTGGTGGTTCTGTCTCTGCCTCTGCGGCTTCTGGGGTGGATGCTGGCGTATGTTGATCTCTCTCTGGTCGTCTCCGAACGAATGGTGATGTCTTTTTCTTTTCCGATACAGCTTCTGATACAGAAACAATACCCGTTCCAGCAGATGCAGAAGCAGTAGAAGTAGTAGCAGCAGCAGCAGCAGCAGCAGCAGCAGACCTCTCCATCTCAATAACCCCCCTCACCTCGCCCAACAACCAATAATTGAATGCACGCAGGGCAAGAATCTCCGCGTGCCAGTCATGCAGGACCAGGCCCTTGCAATGGGGGATCTGCGAGGCGGAGAGGCATTTTGCGCCGGATCTGGTAATCTAGTTAGCATGGCTAGCTTATCCATATTGTCTGTTTCTAGACAGCAGACCCGATTGGACTAGATCACGCTGGAAGAGTGGTCTGATCTGATCTGATATCTAGAAAATGACAAGAGAAGAAAAGAGAAAAGAAAAGAGAAAACATACGTCACAGCCACACAAGTCAACTCCTCCTCCGGGGTATTTTCACCTATACATACATACATACATACATGCATACATCAGCCAACCAATCAACCAAACCACATAAAACCCCAACCCCAACCCCAAGAAGCAACCAAAAGACCAGAAACCAGTAAAAACAGCGAGGAAAAAAAAAAGAAGGGATACAAACCCTAACAACCACAATCCCCGACATAGGAATCCACTCTCTCGTCCCATCATCCCGGAGAATGGGTTTACTGCGCGTCGGCAGGCCATCGAAGTGCGAGTGCACCAGTCGGGCGATTCGGGCGGGGAGGTCGTCCATCTGCATCTCCATCTCCATCTCCTACCCCAAAAGAGCAAAAAGAAAAATAAGAGACAGTTGTCGAGTGTAGCAGCGTTATAAGTAATGATAATAGCATAGATAGATGTGGACTCGTAGATGCAACCGTCCGTCCGTTCGGTTTATATATCATCACGTGATGATCCATTCTTCATCTCCGGGTCTCCGGTCTAGCTCCTCCTCTTGTCTATCAACTCAACTCAAGCCTAACCACCACCACCCAACCAAAACCAAAACCAAAACCACAACCAAAACCAAAACCAAAACCACAACTAGAAAGAAGCAGCAAAATGGCCGATAAGCTCCGTACGATCCAAAACCTCGAGGCGATGCAGGCGCGCTACATCGGCACGGGCCACGCGGATACGACCAAGTACGAATGGACGTCGAACATCGTGCGCGACAGCTATGCCTCGTACATCGGGCACCCGCCGATGCTGTCGTACATGAGCGTGGGGATGGGCGAGTCCAAGGAGAAGGTGCGCGCCATGATGATGGAGAAGATGGTGCGGGGGGCGGGGAATCCACCTGAGGTAGGTTTTTTTTTATTTCTTCTTTCTTCTTTCTTCTTTCTTATTTTTTTATAATACTTGTCTTGTCTTGGGAGGGGAGGGGAGTGTCTGCTGGGGAAAAGGGATAATGGATAATGAATAATGGATAATGGATCATGGCTAATTCGGGTATAGACGCAGGAATAAACACGACCCACGAGGAGTATTGAGGGGTAAGGTTGTGGTTGTGGTTGTGGTTGTGGCTCAGAAAGGAAAGGGGATGGGGATAGAGATAATATTATCTGGGGTTGAGGAGGAGGAGGAGGAGGAGGAGGAGGAGGATGGATAGGTTCTGCTGGATGCAGTGGATAATTCTACAGGATCGGGGCTATACAGGATACGGATAACAAGGAGTTCGGGCGTTCTTTTTTTTTTTTTTTTTTTGTTTGTTTACAAAAAGGGAAGCTTTGCGATGTATAATAGTACGTGCTTGTCAGTGTATCATACCTTGCTTACTGATGAGATATGAATCGGTTTTACATGCTTGCATTTTACAGGAATAAATAGACAAAACCCAATCTCTTGCCTATCTGCATATCTGCCTACCTGTCTGTACAATGATATACGCAGGCTGTACCAAAAAAAAAAAAAGAAAAAAAAGAAAGAAACCAACGCTCAATACAAAATCAGCCCTCATTTCTCCGCATTCTCACCCTGCGACGCCGCCAACCGAGTATTCTCGCTCTGCAACGACCCGATCAGATCGAGCCATTGCTTCCGCTCTGCTCGGAGCCGATAGACCTCCTTCTTCAAGAGGTCGATCTCATGGCGAAGAGCGTCCGTCTCAGCCCGAGAGCGCGACTTCTCCTGCTTATCGGCGTGTTTCTGCTGCCGGGCCTCGATCTTGGTCGCCTCCTTGAGCTGGTCTTTCTCGATCTTGCCCAGCTGTTTCAGCAGCTTCGACTCGTTGTTGAAGAGACTCGCTGCCGCCTTGTTCATGCGCACCGTGTCCTTGTCCTTGTCCTTATCCTGGCTGGACGGGTCGTTTTGTCGGCTGCTGCCGTTGCTGCCTTTGTGCACGCTGCTGGCTGGGCTGCTACTCAGCTCGCTGCCGGGTTGGTCGTTGGCTGCGGCCAGTGCGGCCGTCGAGGCTTTGTCGCGCTTGGAGGAGGAGGATGTTTCGATAGGCGAGGTCACGCGCAGGGCCTGGATGTCTGCCCGGACGCGGTCGAGCTGGGCTTCGACGTTGCGTTTCCGCTCCGCGAGCTTCGCGAGTTGTTTCTCATGCGACGATAGCTTGCCTTTCTTGTTCTTCTTCATCAGATCCACCGCTGAGATGTCGGGTCCGGCTTCCGCAGCGGAATCGAGTGCTGAGTTTATAGATAGCGATGCGGAGGCTTTGCCCTGCGACGCCGCGTCGTCGTCTTTCTCCACGGTTTCGTGGTCCCCGGTGTCGTGGCTGGATGACTTGTCTGTCGCGGTCTGTAGATCCTCAGGGACGCTGCGGGCTGAGGGCTGGCGCGAGTGCTGCGGCAGGTAATCGAGCACTGTTTGTGGCGCGTACCGCTCCAGCCCGGCATTGACCAGGTAGGCGAAGCTGGCGATCAGACCGTGATGCTCGACCTCGGTGTCGGAGAGATCCTCAGACTCGCTGCTGTCATCGCTCGACGCCGCATCCACATCCACATCCACATCCACATCGTCGCCATCGAACCGACTGCCCACGGACCGCTCGGTCGACTTGCGCTCCGGCGTGGGCCGCTCGTCGCGACACGCCCAGTTCAGGAACTTGATGGCATCGGCGCAGATACTCCGGGGGGTGCCCTTCTCGACCATCCAGCGTGGGATATTGCCTCCGGGATCACTTCTCGTCACCATGACCCATTCAACGGGATTCATCCTCTGTTTCTCCCCGTCGCCATCCCCATTCACTGCGTCCCCATCCACCCCATCCTGCTCCTCCAGGGGTAGCTCCCGAATATACTCCACACTCTCATACATACCCCGAATATAGCCCTGAACCGGAGGCATATCGTCATGCACGCAGGGCCTGGAAACCATCATCCACTCCCTGCCCCCATTCCTCCGCTTCCCCTTCCTTCTATCCGCATCCTCATCTCCATCTCCATCCGCATCCGCATCCGCATCCTCATCAACCCACGTAACAATCAAACTCACAAAATCCCTCGGGGCCGTCGGTTTGGGAAACTGGGCGGAAACATGATAAACCTGCATCTTCCCCTTTCCCCCCTCCCCCTCCCCCTCAACCCCCCTCCCCACAACAACCTCCTCAACCAACCTCTCCGCGCCAATCCCCCTAACCGCCTGATCCGGGACCTTCCCCCTCCTCACCCTCTCCTGATTCTTCCTCAACGTGACGCCCATCTCACTGCTCAACCTCTCCCTCCAGACGCCAAACTCCAGACCGGTATGGACGCTCCTCCGCGCAAACCACTGCCCCTTGCCGTCGTCCCCCGCGCACTTATAGATGGGGATCTGCAGCGGGTTGTCTTTCGTGTTGGACACGCGGACGGGCTTGCTCCATTGAGCGCGGAGGGGGGGAGGGCGGAGGCCGGGACGGAGATGGGGGGGGGTTGGGTGGAACTGGAACTGGAGGTGGAACTGGAGGTAGAATTGGAGTTGGAGTTGGAGTTGGGTGATGAGGATGAGGTGGGCGTGGAATTGGAATTGGAGGAGGAGGAGGGCCAGGGACGCAGGATGGAGGCGGGTTGGTCAGCGTAGTTGGCGTGGGAGGAAGCAGGCGGGGGGTCGTGGGGGACGGAGTCGATGATGAGGTGGGCGTGGGTGCGCAGGGTGGTGAGGTAGGAGCGGAGAGAGGGCGGGGAGGTCAGTGGGAGGGAGGTGTAGGTTGTTGGGGAGAGGGAGGCGAGGGCGTTTTGCAGGGTGGGAGGATCGTCTGGTGTTGAGGTGGACATTTGGGTGGTTGGTCTTTGTTTGGTGGTAGTGGGCATGTATGGATGGGGTCGGTGGTGTGTCGGAGAGAAGAAGACAGCAGAGGGAGGTACTCGCAGGATACAAACGAGAGGTGTTGGTGTCCTTCATTCATGAGTTATCGACCGTTCCAGCTGCGGCCTGCTTACCTCCCTGACGTCATCTCTCCCGGGAGAGCCACACTAGCCCCGGCTACTCCGTACTCTAGTTAGTTACACTCTTTTACATAAACACAGTTGACCCCTGATGAGATCACTCTCCCCCCGTACATCTCCCCACTCCCGTACATCCTACGCAACTACGCACACCGATCAGCCTTCATTTGTCGATTATCAGACTAAGTACATGCCAAATACGGAAACTCAGGAGAGATCGTAGTAATTCCAAGAATAATAGAGAACGACAGCAAACGAAGACTTGGGCGCAGCCCTCCAGCATCCGATTCCCTCCCCGCCCCACACAGTGAGGTCGAGGACGGGCGTATCCAGGTATCAAACCCTGCCTGGATGATAGGAGATGACCCTACCAGACAATCACCCGACGAGAACAACTCGACCGGAGTAGCCTCGTAGACAGTGCCCCCAAGGTCACGGACCAATGGGTTGCACCCGACCCAGCCCGCCACAGGCGGTCCAGATCAACGAGACCACCCCTGTTTCACTGTCCCCGTCGCCTGCGCTGTCAAATTCTGCAGCCAACACACATCTCAGATGCATGAGGGCCCCAGCGCCGCAGCTCACCTGCCTCCAGGTACCGGTACCAAACAAGCCAGGTGTCGTCGGAGGACAATTGCACAGCATGTCCTCCGACTCCGCGACAACGAAACGAAGTGAACATTCCTCATCCAAATCATATCCCAAGCCGCGAGGCTAACCAGGTCTTCATGACATATATGCGGGATTCAACGCGGGACAGTCCCAAAGCAGAACAAACAGCCGACCCGCCGCTTCTTGATGCGATAGAACGAAAACGAAACGCTGGCCCTGTCAAAGGCAAAAGAAACGAAAACGAAAGAGTCAAGTGCAATGAGGGGCGGTGTCGTCACCTGAGAATCAAAAGAAAATGCAAAGCAACGCAAAGCAAAGCAGACGAGGTGGAGTATCATGGGTTCGCAAATCAAGGTAACGCCGTCATTGATGCCAATTAGTCTGATGTCTGTATCCGTGGGGATCTGGCCCCTGTCGTTCTCGTGGCTGTGTGTTTCCGGGCCCCGGGGCGGGCCATTCGTTCTGTCGGTATGGATCCTGCGATCTAGGCCAAAGACACGCGAAGTCAGGGAGACCGTTAACATCAAGTGTCTGGTTCCATGGACCGGTTACATTGTTGTCCCGTACGGCAGTGTGAAATCCTGGTACCGATCCCCCAATCCAAACCCCGCCATATTCGCCACCGTGCTGCACGGCTGCACTAGCATACTCGGAAGCGGGAGCGCCGCCAGGGCGGCCGATGTTGCCGCCGCTGTGTAGTACTGCGACACGTACGGGGAGGTGGTGTATGGTTGGCTATACGTCGGCGTCGGGGAGGTGAGCTGCGCGTCGGTGAAGCTCAGGTTGGTCCACAGATTGGGGTTCGGCTCGGCGGCGCAGGTCGTGGCCGGGCTGGACGGAAGCACTTTCCACGAGTCCATCGGCAGGGGTTGCGGCACTGTCTCCTGCCACCAAGTGGTCGGTCCGGTCGAGCTGGGCAGGAGAGGCGTCGAACGGAGCACATCGACGACGCGCGGCGGCGGGGGCAGCAAGGGGACGAACAGGCTGGATATCGCGGCCTTCGCATCCTCGCTACGCCCGTCAAGCAGCTCCCCGGCGCCGTCCTCCTCGAGGCCCTCGAGCGCGACGGCCGCCGTGCGATAGACGAACTTGTTGGCCGCCTGCACGAACTCCTCCTGCAGCTTCTTCAGCTGGCCGGTCTTGTCGGGCCAGTCCCAGGTGTTGGCAGCGGTGTCGACGGAGTAGATGTCCTTGTGATAGTCGACCAGCGCCTCGATGGTCTCCGGGGTCAACTTGAAGGCTACCTCGTTCTGCGACACCATGTCGACGTGCACGACGTACGCTTCCATGTGGATCATCTGGTAGTTGAAGGCCTCCATGAGCGGGTTGTCGTCCTTCCTGAGGTCGACATCGGGGGCCTTGGGGAACATCATGGAGCATAGGGTCCAGATGGCGTTGGACGAGGACAGCGTCTCGGTGAGGCATCTGGTGTGCTGGGTGACGTTGTTCAGAGGTCGCTTGACGCGGTTGACTCGTTTCAGGGTGGCCGTCAGCCACGGCTCGATGCGGGCGTTCAACACCACGTTCGGCGACGACCGCGGCGCAAATGCGGCTGCCGACGAGGGCAGCAAGACGGTGGGCATGCTTATACCGCGCGGGAACGGGCAAAGACGGAGGAGGACTTGACAAGGAAAGAACGAAGAAAGGAAGGGCGGATCAATAAAGAGAGAGATAAGATCGGATGAAAAAAGAGCATAGAGGCGACATTCGCCCACAGCGAGTGAATTTTCCCAATACAGTCCGCTCCGTGGTGGAAGTCACGAGGGCGAAGGTTTCCAGGTGGGGAGAGCCGACGACGGGTAGATAGACGAAGGGAAATCGGGGGAGCCTGCCTGGCCGGATCGAGGTGGTTGGTAGTAGCAGACTAAAATCCCCACCGTTCAGAACCGGAGTGGAGAGAGATGGCGGTGATGGGGGGTGGTAGTGGGTGGGATGTAGAGGATCAAATTACTGTGTGGGCGAACGCGCAAAGAAAGAGAAGGAGGGGGGAGATGAAAGGAATGGCGGCGACGAGAGAAAGATTGAGGGTCGACGGAGGAGGAGGAAGAAGAACAGGAAGAAGAGGAGGAGGGAGGAAGAAGAAGAAGCAGAGGAGGAGGAGGAGGTGAGTAGGGGCGAGGGTGGCCCGAAAGGGAAGGCAGTGATGTAGTAGTCAACAAGTCGCCGTACAGGCAGTACTGTATAGTATAGTATAGTATAGTATAGTATAGTTAGGTGGGTGGGTTAGGTATTGATGGGGTGGATTTATACAACCACCCAGAGGTGAGCGATTATTATTCGGGGGGACAGGCAAAAAGAAAAGAAAAGGAAACGGCAGGATTGAAAGAACAATATAACCAACTACCTACCTAGTAGGTAGGGAGGTAGGTAATGTGAAGATGTGATGTTTCGATTCTGACAGAACCAGACGCAGAGTCCATAAGTAGAAAGAATAAGAATTAAGAATTAGAATTATAATCTTTAATTCCGATCATAACTAAGCAAAGTACTACTAAGTACGTAGTAATCATGAGAGACACCCGAAAATCAGAACCAAACCATGAGCGTACAAGCTGATACCGACAGACAGACTAGACAGAGGGAAGACAGACAGAAAGACAGATCCATCCGCCCATCCATCCATCCATCCATCCATCCATCCATTCCTTTGCTTTCCTGCCCACAGTCCAGTCCACAGTCCACAGTCCACAGTCCACAGTCCACAGTCCACACACACACACACACAGACAGGTCCAGTCCAGCTGTGCCTGTCCCCAATGATGCAGGCCGGCGACTTTCTAATTTTTTTCTTTTTCTTTTTCTTTTTCTTTTTCGTTTTCCTTTTCTTTTCTTTTCTTTTTTCCCCCATTCCCTTTTTTTTTAACCCCAAAAAATAAAATCAATAAAAATAAAAAATAAAAAAAAATAAAAAAAATCCCTGCTTCCTCGCATGCAGACGCGGAATCCCGATCGTATGGTACGAGAGCGAGGGAGAGCGAAAGCGAAAGCTAGAAAGAGAAAGAGAAAGAAAGACGATTTTGGCCACCGCCCGGATTGCCCGTCCGATCTCAGGGCGCGCGCGTGCGCAATGCACTGCACTGCACTGCGCAGCGCAGCGCAGCCTCCGAGTCTGTTAGTTTGTCGCCCTCTCAGCAACGGGGCAAGGATGCAGGCGACCAGAATCGTCGCCGGGAGGTGGGGGGGGGAAAGGGAACGGCGGACGGGCAAGTGCTCCGTCCCTCGACTGGGCGATCCAACGATGTCATGTCCCAGTCTTGTCCCCGAGTCAAGAAGAACGGGGCTAGCTTAGACCGACCAGACCAGACCAGACCAGAGTAGACCGATCTGTTCTGTGTGGACTGTGTGGATTGTGGATTGTGGACGGACTCACTACATACACAATCCGTACTTGTGGTGGACTGAACGACTGAAATAATTATTACATACTGTGTACATTACTCATACTTACTTACATACAGGGCAGGGTAAGTAAGTTCACAGGTTAAATCAGGTTCAGTAACAAGTCGTGAACAAAGAACAACCATCGCAGCAGAGTTCAACCAAGGCGCCCGTAAGTCCCGTAAGTTCCCCCCCCCCCCCCCCCCCCGGAGGCGTTGTTGCGACCTTGATTTGGATGAGGGTTGGTTTCGGATGGTTCCTCGGCGGTCGAATGGCGGGGGGAGAGACGAGACAGAGAGAGGTGGTATCTATTTATCTACCTAATTAAGTATTCTGTACGGATAGTAGTAGTGGGTGAGATAATTCCCTCTCCGGTGGTATCTCATCGATCTATCTGTCTATCTGTCTGCTTCTTTAGTACCTACTCTGTACTCTGTTCTGTGTATTTTGGATTTCTCTCTAGGTACGGGGTACTAGGTAGGTACTATACTAGTCTGAACATGCGACGGTGACGGTGGGATAAGAAGCCTCGTCCGTGTCACCGGCACGACCCAGACTTTCTGCTCTACTGACACTTCCCGCCCGCGTCTGATTACCTAGTATGAGTGAGTCGAACCGAACTGAACTGCAAGTGCCAAAAGACAGACGACAGGGAGATGGTTTCACCGGAGCGAGGCAGGTGGGTGGATAGACTATGGGCCGTCTGGGCAGCTGGGTTTGTTCTGTCTGGGGCTGGGACTGAGGCGCGGGCTGCAGTCTGCAGTCTGCAGTCTGCAGAATGCATTCGATTCATGATCAGGATTTGTGATTACTATTACGATTCCCGTCCCGGAGGCACCGCAGGTGAAGAAGAGAGGCAGACTGCAGAGAGAGGCAAAGAAAGGCGTGGGCGTGGGCATGGGCATGAAAGAGGGCTGGCTAAGCCCCGATGGATGATGGATGGCTGGCTGGTCCACAATCCACATGCATGCACGGATGCATCTCGTTCGGCTCCTGGAAAACGGTCCTGGTCCGGCACAAACACAGACACACAGACACGGATGACGGAGAAAACAGAATCGGATAGATCGCGCGATTATAAGATTCAGTTTCCTTCAGCTGGAGGGGTCAATCCTATCCATCTATTATTTCTTCAAGTTCTTCAAGTTGCCATTTCAAGACAACGCCCCCCACTTGATTCATCCTGGCTGTGAAGATCATCCGATTGTGCTTGGCTTGGAGGGAGTCTAACAGTAAGTTTCTAAACAGTAACGGCCCAATCCAGTAATCCAACAGAAGCCGGCGCGGGTTTCCGCCACCTGTGGAGCCGAGTTCAGCTGGGGTGAACATCTTCCAGCTGCCTAGGATCTACATAGTATAGTAGTAAGTATCTATGAGTAGATATTATTAAGTATCTACTTGGATAGAAAGTAGAAAGTCAGAGTCAGAGTCAGAGTGATGAGGACTATCTACTCCGTACTAGATACGGATACTCAGTAGCAATCAGAGGGGGAGACCCAAAGCGGGTTTTAATCCGAGTTAGTGGCATTCTTAAAATACCCAAAGCGGGCAATTTCGCTCCCGGCGGCCCTGATTAGTGGCCCAAGGCCGTGACGCCACCACGCAGAAGCGAAAGGATTCTTACCTACTACTACAGAGTAACTACTTGAATATGCGCCCTGCGGTGTACTGTGCCCGGTACTGAGATAGACAGATACGCGGAAGAGTTAATTCACCGTCCTCCCAGCATATTCTGTTGTTAGTTTACGTGGTGGGAGAGACATGAATCCACAGTTGACCTGCGGTATGACTCACAACTAACAGCACAGCAGACTGGTAGGAACCTGAGTAGTACTACTGTGCATGTATCCTACCTAAGTATCCTATCCTATGCCGGGGGAAATGCAAATGCACCCTTATCGGCACTGCAGACGTCGTATACTTATGTCGGTAGGTGGACAATCCGGGCCCGGATTCCAGCATGATGGTTCAACATAAGCAAGTATCTATCTATCTAATCCGAATAAATCGACCGAAGCAAGTCGACGCTTTATCGGAAGAAAGGCGTGGAGGGTTCCACAAAAGCATTGGCCAGTGCTGCGTGGACCGTAGCACCGACTCGATCCCGGAGGTAGACCCAGACATGGAACGGAACATGGACAATGTCTTGCTGGCAGCTGCTCCGCCGGGACCGGATTCTCTCTCCACGAGGATCTATCTCTCTATCCGTGTAGGTATGGCTTCACGCATGTCTGGTTGATCTCCAACCGGCTGTTTCGGGGCAGACCACCGCAGACAAATAAGTAAACAGAATAAGTCCGTATAGAACAACGTTCTTGAACCATGGATGGCGCACACCGCACGGAACAGACACTGGCTGCGTAAAATGAAACGAATCCCGGGCAGGTCGTCCCAATTGACAGCATTATCCGGATCGTCTAGTCCCACTCGGGCAAGGGAAGAAAAAGACCTCATCGCTCAGCTGATGAATCATGGAGGGGTTGTGAGCGTCGTGGGGCGAGCTAAAGGGCCAGGGAAGTTGGGAAGGGGCCTCTTCTGACCTCAGATTCGCTGACAGGTAGACAGGCCGGCTCGTACGCCGCAGCTGAGATCCCTGCTACGATCTACCATTGGACTGGGCCTGGTCGGCGGTCATCTCCAGACCTTCTGGAAAGGGAAGTCAGTCGGACGCAGGCCGTGGTCGTCCTTGTAAGAAATAATAACGATACTTGGTCGTTACAGGCAGTACAGGCAGCGCAGGAGGGATCATCCTGCCATTCTGCTCCCCTCCCCCCTCCCCCCGATCTGCATGCATGCGCTTCTCGCGTTGCCCTGACCTACCTTGAGTCCTGACAGGTAGGACTCGTCCGCTGGCCCACCCGCAGGCCTGCCGCTAGAAGAGACATGGCTGACTGGACTGAGAGCGAGAGCCCTGGCTTATGCTCGTATAAACAGGGGCTCAGGTAACCCGGCGGGCTGGAGATATTACCTGGACCAGGCACAGGCTCCGACGCCGTGGATTGTGGCAAACCAACGCGCAAGCCCGGTATTTAGGGGGAGCAGGTGCCCGGCGACACCGGGACTGGCTGGGATAATCTGCACAGAAGGGACGGTGCCGTCATAACATCGCCTATATCCGACGTTGCGCGACCCCACGGACGAACATCAACCCAGCCAGGACAGGAGGAGTCAAGCATTATTGTGGCCGTCGTCGCTGGGATGCTAC